TTAGCACAGGTCATTATCAACAAATGAAAATTGGGTCATAATCAAGTCTTCAGTGAGATAATGAACTATAACATATACTCTATGCATACCCTTAATTAAAAATATATGTTTTTACTATAACTTGTGACAGTGTTGTCCAAAGCAGGGCAGTGAGTCGACTCACATCCGGACAACTCGAAACGTGCCCCCACTGGCAGTGGACTGCATGCAGCATGCAGAACTGGTCTCTCATTGGCTTCTTCTGTAGGCTTAGTAGAGCACACTACACAGTAAGAAAAAAAGATTAGACCTACCTGATATAACTGAGACTGTCGCTGCAGCAAGCCATACTGTGAGTAATTTTTGGCCGCACTGAAAATTACTCACAATGCAAACTGGATATAAAAGCATTGATCCAAAAGCTATTACCCACTTTAGGATATTGCCCAAACCAAAGGAATAATTTCACAGCAGCTGAATAAAGCATCTATTCACAGCACCAGGAGTGAAACAAAAATAACATTCCAACAAAACATCTCTGTTATTAGGTGAAGCTCAGCCTGTCTGTGTGCAGTCTGCTGTGACCGTGTTTGCAGACTAATAACTGCAGTCCTCTGAAGCTAACAGAGAATAGCTGGCACTTACAGTAGAAAGCTTGCAGTGTGTGCTGCACTGTTTGAGGCTTCCAGCACAGACCCTATCACAAAGGCTTCATCTCATCACATAAAGTGCCACAATCTTATTTAATTTGCAGGGTGTTTCTGCAATGACATATCCAAGGACAAATAGCTATGCTCATAGCATAACAAAACCTGAGCCCTGCTCTCTCTCTCCTTGGATAGAAACCATACAGTTTTAATGTAATCCAGTATCATAACCACTGAGCTGCATTTATCTTGGCAGCCTTAAGACTTAAAGGTTGATAACTGGCGCTAATCCAAACATCACAGCAACCTTTAGAAGCGTCCTTTTGTTGAAGGGCGTGTTTCTCGTTGACGACCTTCTGTCTAAATGGTGCCTCTGCAGCTGCAAACAAGAAAGATTTAGGTTATAGAATTATTTAGAATAGTTATCTAATGCCTTTTTCTTTAACTTATTTCAGTTTTATTAACTAAGGTTATTATCAGTACGGAATGGCTTTATTGCTAGATTTGCTCTTAAGTTGAAAGGCTTACTTCCTGTTGAGCTATTGAGTTGATGGAAACAGCGACCAGGAGGATTGCACACCACAGAGTACTACAGTTTTTTACTGTGTCTTTTTTTTTTCTGCAGTAAGAAAATACATTGTACCGTCATTTTTTGTGTGTCCATATTCCCTATATAAATACATTTAGGGTTAAATACACGGTTTGACACACATCCTTTGGTTTTTCAAGAGTGCTATTAGACTGACAGATATTAGATCTGTTGCAAAAACACCTGCTTTAACTTGTAAATCAGTTTAAAATGAATAATGTAAATGGAGCCACCAAACAGGTTCTCAGCTTTAATCTGAACAAGATGAAAGGAAAATGTGCATTTCCAGGCCTAAAGATGGTGTGCAGTGAAAACATAAACAAGTCTGGGTTTTTATGGTACACAATTGGAGACTCAGGGAGTGCGAAAAGGCTTGTAAGGAGCCCAGCATTTAAATATGTGATGGCTACCAAGTGGCCCATCAATATCTATAGATATGAGAAAATGTAGGAATACAAGTTGCATAGTTTGATGTAATAGTTTGCAGAGGAAAATTTGAACTGCTTGTTTATCAAAGGGCAGTGCTAATGGAATGGGTGATAATGAAGTGAGCCATGTGGCAGCATAAAATAATTTGGACTAAAGTACTGTGTTCCCAATTCACTTTCTTTTTAGCCTGTCTCTACAAACAGAGATATTTATAAAAACTTACTTTAAATAGATTGAATAAAAGTATTTTTTGTATTGACTGAAATTAATCAAACAATCAATAATACAATGAAAACTAAAACACAACCCTTTTTCTATCATTAATTGAAAGGTTTCAGTTCAATATCTTTAAGTATAATAAGGAAGCTTAAAATATCTGTTTGCTTTAAAATCTCCTTTCAGATACTAATTAGCAATGAAAATGTTTTTATTGTTTAAAAAACAAAACATCAAGAAAAGCACAAAAAGAGGACTGAACATAAACATCAGTATATAGTTTTAAAAAAACATGTATCCATATGGGAAACAAAACCAACCTTATAAATTCAGATTTTATAGTATTTACTTCTAGATATTTTGCTATATATATTGTGGTTCATGTTGATTTCTGTATCTGTCGATTTCATTCTGCATGTGAATAAACACTAACAGCTTTTAGCCTGACATATGTATGGTGATTGTTTCTCTGTTTCCATGAAGAGTCCTCTTTCATATTTGCGTGAGCGCTGCAGGCATTTCCCTGCTTAGCAGTTTAAAGGCTTCAGTTTCAGCCAGGCTGTCGATAGGTCAGGTTGACCTTTGAGTGCACAGAGACCCCAGCACTGATATCTAGTTATGTTGTTGGTTCAGGCCGCCACCAGCCATACGAGCTCTTAATTGACTCCCCAAACACTACAGACATGAATGCTAGGCGGATGAGACTTGAAGTTGTCATTAACCCCTTTTTCTCCTTTCAGCTGATGTATTTTCAGGGGTTATGTTGTAATAATTTTATAGAAGTTTCATATATATATATATATATATATATATATATATATATATGTATATATATATATATACCCAGAAAAAGTGATTTATTTATATTTATATCACAATCTGTGACTTGAAGATAATTACTGACTTGGAAGAAAGTAATTAACCTTATTAAGAGCCAGAAATCAAGCACCTGAAAACAGACAGCCCTGACTTTAATCACGGCTCACTCTGTCCTCACATATAGGCTCTGCTAAGAAAGCAGAAGATGAATTGATTTTGCATCGACGGGCACAGCTGGACCATTTATTTCTTTCTCTGGAGAAAAAAAAAAGAAAAGAGCAGGGAGCATAAGCTGGGTTTGTTTGATGGAGAATAGAGGGCTGATTGTTAGATTATCACATGCAAATTGTTTGATAACAGAACCATAGCAACGAGGGAGGAAAAGTTGAGAAAAATAACCAAAAACACAGAGACAGTGTTGTGTGTATCTATGTAGATACAGACAGATGAAAAGGTCTGCTTTTGCTTTAAAGGTCTTAAAGAATTAAAAAGGCATTTGAATGTATTGTTGTTTTATCTACAATTTAAAAGAACTGACAGGATTACAAATATTACACAAAGAATATTACTCACTTAAAACATTAATAGTTGTGATATGTTACTTCGTTATACTTTAAACCCTCTCTGCTGACTTTGTTTTTGCTGCAGTTAAGCTATTTGCTGGTGGATATTCTGATAAACAAATACATTGATTGCAATTTGAATATGTGGGTCATTTATAAAATAAATAATTGAGTTTATTTAATGTGTCTATTCATATTCCTGGTGTTAACAATTTAAATGATTGGACAAAACAAACATTTCTCTAGAAAGGTGACTGTTAAGCAATTAAAATGATTTACAATCTCATGTTAAGATCCACATTATCAAGATAGTATTCGGAATATGAGAAAAACACAAATATGTTCATATTTTAAAATTATTTAAACACAGATTGACATCAAGTTTTAAACAATTAATCATTTTACATAATTATTAGATTGTGCATTCGATAAAGTATTTTAAAATGTACTATGGAAAAAAATCTTTGGAATATTTTATTAATTGAATTATGGAGGATCAGGAATTTTTTTTTCACAATAGGTTTATAATAATACTTTGTTATTATTATCAGATATTTCCACTCTTGGTCCTCCTCAGCATGTTGTGGTGCAGGTTGAAATTATTTATCATATATATTCTTTCAGCTTTACCAACCAAAATCATTCATTTAAAATAATTTTATATGAATTAAATATTTAATGAACACATATTTTTTGAGTGTCTTTTTGTTTCAGGCATTTATTACTGCTTTATTTGAAAAAATTAAGTGGATAATAATTGTGCTGCTCTTTATTATGACCGTTTTAGTCCTCAACGCTGCTTTGCTTAAAAAAAAAAAAAAAGCATCAATTTGTGTCCTCTGCTCTTTGAGCTTTTCAAGCTGCTGGGCATTTCACCTGTGTATTCAGGCGCACTGATATTAGTCAACAGGGCAGGAGCAAATAACGGTTCGCCGAGGGGGGTTCTCATTGTTGATCTTCAGCAATGTCATCAAAATATTTCATTCTGTTAGTGCGGACTTTATTTACGTGTGAATATCATAAGTTTGGTTTCTAGCATGTTTGTATAGGCTGAAATTATTAGTCTGGTTAAGGTCGGAGTTTAGATGAGCTGGGTTGCTCCACCCCCCTGCTCCTCCTGCATGGTACGCTCCGCTGCTGCGGGTCTGTCTCCTCGGAAGCCACATCTCCCCGCAGGAGCTCCGGCACTTTGCTCTTCTAAGCTGCGTGTCTTCCTATGTCTGGCCATGGCTGGCAGATCTTAAATGGAAAAAGGACTCGATAGAGACACAGACAGAGGAGTTAGAAGATCGTCACTTTTTACCAGCCTGTTACCGCCATAGGTCCGCGCGGAGTCCGGAGAATCGTCCCCGCTCCCCGGCCAGGATGAAGCTGTGCGTGACAGCCGAGCTGGTGCTGCTGCAGAGGCGTGTAGGATGGCGTTACCGGGAAATGCTAAACAGCGGGTTTACTGCCTGCTAGGGGACACCATACACAGAGAAACCGAGTGGAATTAAAGAGACTTACCTTCCCTCTCTGTGCGCCATATTCACGATGCACCTGCTCGCCCTGCAGGATCCTGGACTGATGGAGCTCTGAGAATCACTTCCCAGGCTTCCCAGACCCATTTGGAATCATCTGTGTGCTCACAGAATTACACATAGATAATAAATGACTTTCTGACTGGATTTACAAGGACTCATAACAGGAAGCACTTCTTTTATTTTAATGTTGACCTTTATTTAAGCTTTATTTAAGCTTCATTTTCAACACATTTTATTGGATCTGCAGATCCATGTGTCTGAGTGACCTGTATATTATATTATATCAGAGTCAGGAGAATGCTTGATATCAAGATGAAGGAGACATGTAGAATCTGTGGCCGGGAGCTCTGTGGTAACCAGAGGCGATGGATCTTCCACCCAGCCTCCAAACTCAACCTACATGTGCTGCTCTCCCATGCCCTGGGTCGAGAGCTGACGCGGGACGGCAAGAGGGAGTTCGCCTGCTCCAAGTGCACGTTCATGCTGGACCGCATGTACCGCTTCGATACGGTCATCGCCCGGGTAGAGGCCCTGTCCATTGACAGGCTGCAGCGTCTCCTGCAGGAGAAGCATCGTCTGAAGCAGTGCATCGGGGGTTTGTACTGGAGGACTAACCCAGAGGAGGGGGCTGTGGCGTTTACTGCTACTAGCGAACGCTCTAGAGATGGAATGGTGGATATTTCGGGTCTAACACATGCAAAGTACTGTGCCTTGCTCCAGGAAGACTTGGTCTACTCTTTGTATGAGTCCTGGGCAGAAGATGGACTGGACTGCCACCACCAGCACCACCCACCATGCTCTGCTGGGTCTGGGTCAGAGGCCACAGGTGCGGGTTCACACCACTGTCGATCCAGCACTCCCAGGAGGTGCCGAGGATGCTCTTACTGGCGAGTGTCAGACTCCGACTATGAAGCAGTCTGTAAAGTGCCCAGGAAGCTGGCAAGGAGTACGTCTTGTGGGCCATCAACCCGATACTCAGCCAGCATCGCTGGAGGGAGTGTGACCGGAGGAGGTGGAGAAATGGAAAGAAATGATGTGGAGGATTCAGAGGAGGCTCCCTCCTCTCAAACTCTGGTCCCCGGATCTCAGGACGTTTCCCGGACCTCCGACAGTGATCGCACGCTGGCTGGACAGGCTAGCTCCAGTCCCTCAATTGCATCCTTGGAAATGGCTGAAGAAAACACTCAACCCGAGGTAATGGGAGACAGACTGCTGGTCTCCTCAGGGGAAGCCATGGAAGACCACTTTTCTGACTCTCTGTCTGAGGAGCACATGGGAGCGACGTTCTGCTCGCTGGGGCCCAGTCTTTCCCTGACCCTCTGTATGCTGCAAAGCTATACAGCCTACCGGCCAGTCCAACGCACCAAAGGAAGCAAACTGCCAGTCCTGATCCGACAGAGCTTAAGGAACGAAGGTTCGCGGCCTCGTTTCCCAGACAATCTTTTAGGAATGGCCTATGGGGAGAGAGACAACCACATGCCCACCCCTGAACTGGAGACCCCTTTGATCAGGGTGAATCTGGAAGACAATCACAATCTGAGCTTTGCTGATATGGAGGATTTATTGGAAGATTTGTACAAAGAATATCCTCCCCCACCCCCACACCAGGTACTACACCTTATAGAAAAAAAGTGTTGCTCTGCAGTACCAAGAATGAACCAGACTAATGCACTTTGACATTTCACTCGAGTCCAACCGCAAATTGTCCCCTCCTTCTTTTTTAGTCTAAGCAGTTTCATAATCAAGCTGTCAGTTACTTATTCTGCCCACAGCCTCTTGAAATAACTGCAGCTCAAAATGATGTGAGCTGTGGTAGGTGTGCTTTAGTCTTCTTTCTGAGATTATACCACAGTTTGTAGGTGCAGTCAGGTTCAGGTAGGCAACTGCATATGGCAGGAATTCACTAACGAGTGTGTGCACAAACCACAAGGTCATTATCACTGTCATAGAAAAGGCAAAGATGCAGGAATAGTCTTACCTCTAGAAGACAGTGGTGATAGTGTAGAGAGATTGGAGGAAAAAGAAGGAAGTCCTCTAAACGGTGCAGATGCAGTGATTAAATTTATTTTAGCTCCTAAAATCGTCTCTAACTGAAAACGCTCATACCCCTGGTAAACACCTCCTTGTGAGGAGCTTTTCTCTTAGTTTGTTGCCATACAAACAACATTGATAGAGGATCAGTGGCTTTCAGCAGCTCTGACTGGTCAGTCTGCCAAGGATGGATTGATCTGTTAGAGTTTGAGAGGCTGTTATTTACTGCATCAAATACCATATATTGTAGTGCTTTTTAAGCTCTCATAGCCATTTGGAAGATATTCAGGCACTTTCCTCTTTATGCAGCCTGCTTGTTGTACCGAAAATGTCTCAGCTCTGATCAATAATCTTCTGTGAGGAAGAATGCATTAATTCTCTGGAGCAAAGACCTGTGACTGAATCAGGTCAGATGAGGGAAGACAAAAAGACATAGTAGCTGCACTGTTGGCCTGTTTTCTGCAGGCCTTGGGGCAAATAATCCACACAATGTCAGACCATCTCAGCTCTGGTTGGATGCTCCGGCTGCACAGTTAAGGGCTATGTTTCAAATCTGTGTTAGCAGAAGCATGACTCGTTAAATAATACTTGCCATGCATTTAGTGAAGATGGGCGGTTATGCTAAGGCATCCTGCATGTCAGGGTGGACAAAACTCTTCATTGGCTTTCATACTTTATCTGCTACTTTAGCTTATAACACTAAACAGATGAATCATTAGAGAATTATATAAAAAGTAGGATTCCACTATTTTTAAACAAAACAAAATAAGGTTGACATTATAGACTGTTTTAGTATCTATATTAACGATTCACACAGCTAGGAAATCCAAACAGCAGCCCTCTATGCCTCCTGAACACTGTAGGTCACTAGCAGCCTGACTGAAACACAGTAACGACTTCTTGCTTTTCTATAGTCCAGTTGTCTAAAATTTTTTAATCACCTCTCTGCAGTTCCAGACCCCCTACCCTCAGTGACAGGTGTCACACAGAGGATTGTTGAATAATGAGGTTTTGGAGTCTCTAACAGGCTGATCAGCCCTCAAACACTCTGATTTTATGCTTTCAATAAGTCTAATATAAAGCTATTTGGGTCATTAGTAATGAATCATGTTGATTTCTGTCCTTTTCAGAGCCTCGTTGAGGAGCAGCAGAGTCAACTCAACCAGTACGAATGTGCGGCTGGTCAGTGCGTCAGCGAGCTGCAGAAGGCCCGGCTCCAGGTGCAATCCCTGCAGGCCAAGATCCAGGAGAGTGAGGCCAACAACATGGTGAGTCCCAATGAAAATAGCCACCCCTTAAAGTTGGGTGCTTTTAATCACACCGCCGGACTGATTTTGTTGTTTCTTGTGTAGAAGCTGCAGGAGAAGCTGAACGAGATGGAGTGTGAGCTGCGTTCGCTCCGACAGGCCACCCAGAGTCAGGAGAGAACCATTCAGGGCCTCACCGAGTCCATCTCTACAAAAGACAGTGAGGTCTGTGTTTGAACGCAGAGAAATGTCATTATTAGACAACCTCTATATATGTAGCTGATTCCTGTTTTCCATTTCTCTCTGAAGGCCCAGGAGCTGTACCATCTGATCGAAGGCCAAAACAACACTCTGTGTAAGCTGCAAGAACTGGCCCACCGTAACCAGCTCACTCAGAACCAGGTGAGACCTGGTGCATGGTTTTCTTGGATCCTCTGACCCAGAATCTTTTCTTAGTCAAGGTAAAGATATAAAGGCGGATCCAATATTTTTCTTTTCTCTAGGCTGCTGCAGGGATGAATGAGTCCTTAACGCTTGCCCAGCTGCAAGGCGAGCTGGTCCGGGTGCAGAGCTCTCTGTTTTCTCTGGGTCTGGAGCTGGATGCCAGCCAGAGGAGTCTTAGACAGAGCCAAAGGCAAGGGGAAGACCTGCTGAGATTCAAGGACAGACTCAACTCGGACCTTCAGGAGGCGCTGCAGCACAGGGAGGTCACTGAAAAACACAACCAGGTCGGTGTGGTCATACATGACAGACTTACTTAAACCTATAAAACATGTATCTCAAACCTTTCCTTTTCCTGCTGCAGGATTTGCGCAGTGCTTTGCAGAAAACTCGCTCTGAGCTCCAGACGAAAGAGGCAGCTCTGAAGGAGTCTGAGGCTGAGAAGGTAGCAGCAGCACAGGAGAAGGACAGGATCATTGCAAAGCTCAAATACTCCCTGCAGGACAAGGAGCAGCAGCTGCAGGTAGGGTCACTCCCACGCTTTGCATCCGCAGATGCTCATACGAATACATCTCTTTGAACTCTTTTGTTTTTGTCTTTAGGAGTACTCTGAGATGTTGGAGTCCACGAAAAGCTCCAAACCAAGAGATTTCCTGCTGGAGAAGCTGAGGGAGCGGATAAAAGAGAGAGACAGAGCTCTGGAGGTAAAACACAAACGTATACAGAGATTATGTTAGTTTATTTATGTTCTTAAGCTGCGTTAACAATGTCAAGTAATGGCCTAGAAGTTAGAGCATGGCGCATGTGCTCTCGGAAGGTTGCAAGTACCCGGTTCGTTCCCCACAGTCTGCACTCTGGGTCCCTGAGCAAGACCCTTAATCCCCAGGTGCTTTTTCAACGATGTTAATAAAATACTAATTAGTATAGTTTAAGGCGAGAACTTTTTTTAGGAGTTTAAACCCTAAAAATACACAAAGTTTTCATGGACAGTAAATGTGATTCTGGGTTTTTTTTTTAAGTGAGGGAAACCTTTCTTCCTGCAGCGCTCCATTGATGACAAATTCCACTGTCTGGAGGAGCGGGAGGGCCAGGTGAGGGCGCTGCAGCTCGCCCTCAGGGAGAAAGAGCGTGACCTGGAGAGGCTCCGCTGCATCTTGTCCAACAATGAGGAAACCATCACGGTATGCTCATCCGTCAATCTCTGAGCCATTTTATTCTGCCTTTTTCTTATTTTTCGTACAAATGAGTCTGTGCGTTTTTGTGTTCCTCTACTACCAGAGCTTGGACGCTCTGGTGCGCAGCAAAGAGCTGGAGCTGGAACAGGCAGCAGAGGCCTACAGGAACCTGCAGTGGCTGAAGCAGAAGAGCGAGGAGAAGGAGAAAACTGCTCTGAGGGAGAAGGATGGCATTATTGAGCAGCTGCAGGCGGCCCTGCAGGCGCGCAGCCAGGAGATGCAGGTAAACCAGAGCAGCTGTTTGACTGAACTTGTGCTTCCAGCTTTACGTTTGAAAACAACACAGATCTGATGACTTTGCTCCCGTCGGCTGCTTCTTTCTTGCCTATTTTCAGGATCTAACGACCGCCATTGCTGCCCGAGGCCTGGCTGGTTCCGCCGGGCTTGTGGAGGAGCTCAGAGCTCGGCTGGCTCTTAAAGAGAAGCTCTTCCAGGAGCTGCTGTCTGACCGCAGCCGGCAGACTGATGAACACCAAGCACATGTCCAAGATCTGCTCAAAACGCTCAGCTCTAAAGACCAGTATCTGCAGGTATGCATTGGTAATGGAAAGATGATGAAATCAGAGCACAAATAAAAACGCTCCATTTTTGCTGTCAGGATTACTCCTACAGGCTTTCCTTGGTGATCATCGAGCGCACCATTGAGCAGCAGGAACTTCGAAAGCAGTTGACTCAGATGGAGCAGGAACTGAGTGAGATGAGGAGGGACAAGGAGAGGGAGATGGGAGGAGAGAAGGAGCATCTACGCAGCCTGCTTAAGGAGAAGGAGGCCTTTATTAAGGTATCTGCTCATACAGCTCTTCTTGGTTTATCCCTCACATTCAGTTCTGCTTTCCTGATCTTCACTGCAAGCTTTTTTGTCAGGAGCTGATTCAGGAGCAGGAGGAGGCTGTGCAGGCGGAGAGCGAGGCAGAAATGAAGGCTTTAAAGGAGGAGATTCAGCTGATGCTGAAGAAGGAGAAGGAGACTCAGGTATCTTCTTTTTCTGACCCGCTGAGTTGCTGCTCCAAAGCCATCTTTTGCAGATAATTTCACACGGTGTCCTTCATTTTCTGCAGAAGGAAATCTTTGATCTGCGTTCTTCTCTGGCTCTTCAGCAGAATGCTGCTACAAAAGACAGCACTCAATACCAGGTAAGAGTGACATTTAGGAAAAAATGTTGAACTTTTCATTATTTTTCAAATATTTTTACATTTGTATTTTCTTTGATGCAAATGGTATAGTTGTAAAAATAAGGATTTTAAAAACCATTAAGTCCCTTTCTGATAAAAAAAAAGAAAAAAAGCATTGTTACCAGTTGCTTTTAGACAGGTAGGAGTAGTGCATCACTCCCACAGTAGGACATGGTGGTGGCAGCATCATGTCGTGGTAAACAAGTCATAGATGATGGGAATATGGTTGTAATTAAATATAGATGAATTCTTGAAAGGACCTCCCCCACACAAATAAAAAAAAACAAAAAAAAAACAACAAAAGATTTAAGACTGCAGTGGAGACCCCCACAAGTAGCTTATTGTATGCCTTTTAAATAAAATACGCTTTTAGTTATAAAAGAAAAAAATGTCCTTATTATTTATAGATGATGAGCTCTTCTTCTGAACACTCTGTTTTTCTCTTTCTGGTCTTCAGTGTGTGCTGGAGCAGCTGGTGTCCGAGTACAACAATCTGAATGACGCCCTAAAGGTTGAAAAGAGGTTATACCAAAATCTAACTCAGCTAAACAGGAATGATGGGTAAGGGAGGTGCTTTATTGTCTGGAAATAAGAAAAAAAAGCTTTTCATTCAGGCTTTCCTCTTTCACTCCAGCAACAGCAGCTCAGAGACGACCCAGACTCTGCACACTGAACTGGACTCAGTTCAGGCACTTCGAGGACAGCTTGAGGACGTTCTGTCCAGGACCCGCAGCATGGCCCTGGCACTGGAGCGGGCAGCTAAAAGGCAGTCTGAGTTTGGAGGTGGGAATGGGCGGGGTCTAGCCTCCACGGCTGCAGTCGGCGCTCTCACTAACGCTCCCTGATGCTCGGCACTGCAGAGTAAATGGCTGAATGTGAGACAGAGCTGCCTGTAAGCACTGAGGGTCAGTCCTAGAAAGGACTGCATTTATAAAGAAGGAAGAGCCTGACCCTCAGTCTGGAGGCAGCTTTGTCCAGCCAGCACCAGCTCTACTCTGTTCAGATTAACTTGTCAGAAATGAAAATAATCTCAGAGTTTTAATATATTCTGTATTTGTTGTGTGGATGTGTTTTATATTGTTTGTGATGACTGCCTGCTTTTCACTTTGGTTTACTCTGTATTGTCATTTTGGCGCCGTGCTGTTACAGTGAAGTTTCATCCTCTGGAGATGTTAGAGCTCACGCCTTTTCAGTGAAACGTCTCACCATCCATCATTTGTTTTATGTCATCTGTTTGTCAGCATTTAACAAAGGTTCAGAGATGATGATGCACTTTAATTGAAAAGGAATAACCTTCAGCTTTTTCCAGCATCTTGTTACTAAAACCTGCTTCTGCTTTAGTTGCATTTTGCACCAAACTTCTGAAACCCATTCAGTATGAGCTGGTAGGTAGAAGGTAGAAGAAAAAAGTAATGACATTATTTTAATAAATGCATAATTTTTCAACATGTTCTTATCAGTTCCGGGTTGTACTGAGACCATTGAAATATCCACAGACATGCAAAGATGTGAAACATAATCAGCCGCTTAGACGCTAACTGGTAGCGAACATGTTCCAGGGATGCTCATCTCGCCTCGAAGCTTGAAGAAATGTCAACTCTTTTGTTTCTTTAATGGATTAAAAATAAATGTGCTGTGTTTTTTTGTCAAAAGGACCTCTGGTATGGGCTTATTTTTTGTGTTCATTTTAAAAATTGGTTATAAAAATGTATTATCGACAGATCCCAAAATCTAAATACCCATCCTTATTTCCCATAAAAACCCAAACTTCATATTGGTTTTCCTGTTTGAAATCTTAAAAACAGAATCAAGTTTTGGATGTTTTAAGTCTATAAAAAAAATAGACCCATCAACTTCTGCTAAAAAAACGTCCAAATTAGATTTCCTTCCATCTCCTCGCCTCTTCATGCATGAAACTGTGGCATGGTTGTCCTGTTTGCATGGATGTTCAGCTTTTAACACCCTGTTTTCATATTCCCATTCTAAAACTAAGAGATTTACACAAATATAAGCCATAAGGTGATCCCTAAGAACAGCTATTTAGCTCCTCGTTGTAGCACAACCGAAGATAAACTAACAAAGTGAATGTTTGAAGCCAGAATAATGACAAGGGAAGGCTTTAACAGAGTTTGACACCTGGGTCAAAGCATCTCCAGTACTGCAGCTCATGTGGGTTTGTCCCAGTGTTCAGTGGCCTATCTCTATCAAAATCAATCAAGGAAGAAACAAGTAAACATGGTTCAAATTCACTGATGTAGGCAGGAAGAAAAGGCTGTGGTCTGATCCAACTGAGCATAGGATGTCAGAATTCCCAGTGCATCATGGTTTGTTACCATCCTTGCTGCAGACAGCGTTCTGAATGGCTGCCATGACTGAGGAGCCTTTGCTGCCTACCGTTTGCTGAAAGGTACCCTGCATACCTGTCTTAGTGTAGTGGAGTCTCTGACATGTAGAGACTATGTTGGCAGGTGGTCATAATGTGATACCTGATTAATTATACTTTCCTTTATCGAAAGATGTCTGACGTTCAAGATAATAATAGCACTTCAGGATAATTCAAACACACGTCTACCAAGTGGGTAGAGTCATGAATCTAATTATTCAACCCTTCTTAGCTCACTGAGCTCATTGTTCAGTCAGTAAACTGTCCTCTCATTATCAACACTAACGCCTCGAGAAGCATTTAGCTTCGTCTGATTGTAAATACTTTGATTAAATGTTCCTAAGAAGCTCTAGGCAACAAAAAAATAAACTCAAACAGTCCCACTGGATACTATGCGTTATATAAGCATCTGTTTTGTACCACTAGGAATGATGATGTGAAGCTATTTGACTTTAAATTTCCTGCTGAGTCACCTTCCAGACCCCTGTTTTGAGTTATTCATACAGCAAACCCACTAAACAGGATCTAGTTTGATTTCTTTAAAGCTAAAAATCTACATACACGCGTCGGTTCTGTTCAAGTAAAGGTGGTCTCATGAAAACATGTACATAATCATGGCGAGGGGGTGTTTTTATGACCTTACATTTCCCTTCAGTCCAATGACTTCCAGTTTGGTTTAGAGCGGATAGAGGTCTAAGGAAAGCTTGAGGAAAAACAGTACAGAGAGAAAACCTGATAATTATATAACAGATCTAAAGGAAGGGGATGCCATCCTTACATGGTTATTGTGCTTGCAGAGTTCAGCTCAGACGAAGAGGAGGAGGAGGTAGATGATGAAGACAGCAGTAGTGAGGAGTTTACTGACAGCATAGAGGAGGATGACAACGGCCTGAACTCCATTAAGGTAAAAAATGGTTTCCAGTCTTTATAGAACAGTTTGGCCTTCAATTTCTGATAAGAACATATTTTCCTATCCTGTTAGGCTTCATTGAAGATTCAAAGAGCAGGTGAAGAGTCGGTAGAGGGGACGTTACATCAGAAGCATCTTGGGGAAACTAAAAGGACTCTAGATGTTCAGCTAGAAGACGTGCTGCCACAGCTGGAGGAGAATGGATTTAAGCCTTTATCTAAGATTAAGTGAGTAGTTACAACTCTCCTTTCAAATGTATTGACAGGTTTCCTTCTCTCTGCTAATTCTTGTTTGTTTTCTTCTGTCTGTTTCTTTTTGCAGGAGTGCCCACCAGAGGTCACAGAAGGAGAATGGGGCTTTAACAGAAAGTCAGGGAGCTTCAGGGCAGAGGAGGAACACAGAGCGTAACCTCGATCCCGAGGAGGAGGCTAGCAGTGTGGAGGGAGAGGATGAGGAGTTTGAATCATGTCCAGTGGTGTCGGGGAAGCGAGGCCCCCCTGGTGTCGGTCTGAGCATCGAGTCGGGGAAGAGGCACTGTATGAGGCCGTGCTCCCTGGACCTGACGTCCACACAAACGGAGATGGTAACATTTAACAATAATTATATTTCTATATTTTCTGAATAATATTTAGAAAAGCCTTTAAACTGACTGATTTGTACTAAATCCAATTACAGATGGGATTTTATTAAGCAAGTAAAACTCATAATTCAGTGGCCAACACAGAGCAAATGCATCCATTTTTATTCAACTCCTCGGGCTTGATCCTCTTCATTTTCTTGTCTGTTTTGACTCCATCTCCATAGTTTGTGGCGGACTTCATTTCTTCTTGCCACATCCTCATGACGGCCAGATTTGTTGATCTTTTAATTTTTCTTTATCCTGGTAACAGATTCATTCTTTGCAGCTCCTCTCAGTTTATCATATTCCTTTTAGTTCTTAGCAGAAAAGCAGAACGTATAAGTTTGCTGCTTGAAAAATGTGTTTCTTTTTAATTTTGTGAGAGTATTACAATGCAGTGGTAGTTACTTTCAGGGAATGTACAATGTTAGTACCGCCACTCACAATTATTTTTTGTGTGTACAAAATCATAGACAAAATATACAAAGTTAAGTAAATTACATCTAACAACTTTTAACAAACAAGAAAAAGCAAAAATAAACTATACCAGGTAGTCTTGAAATAAAGTATGAGAGATACATTAATATATTAATCCTTAGACGCTACAGAACATAAATAAATAACAGGCATTGAATGGTCATCCATTCCATACTTCTGTCTGTTCAAGACCAGAGTATTTAACGTATTTAACCCACTTGGCCCTCCTCTTAGTGAATATGTTTTTTTGAAGTCGGAGGGAGAAGGTGATCCTACAAAAATGTGTTTCATTATTTCTGACATATATTCCCTTTTCGTTACATGTTCTGGTTGTAAAAATAAAAAAAAAATAATTAGCTTAAAGTGTATAAATCTTTTGCATATTTTTCTTCCATTTTGTCTTCCTTTTTTATTATTCTACATAGCTTAATGGTTAATAAAAGGGCATATCTGGGCTTTGTTTGCGTCTGAATCTCCAGACAGTAGAGTCCACTGGTGACAGCAGTGAGTCGGGGGCGATTTGGCAGGATATAGAGGAGGGTCTCCGGGAGCAGGCGGCTCGTCTTCGCTCTGACCTGACTCTGAGCCTCCAGGAGAACAGAGAGCTGAGGGAGAGGTTGATGGTGTCTGAAGCCACGGTCCAGGCCCAGGCTGAGCAGCTCAAGGAATACAGAGATCTGCTAAGTGAGTTTATCCTTTAAATGCTATGAAGCTGCCCATAAAAACACGGTCAGATTCTGACTGTTTCTTTGTATCTGCAGCTGAGACATCTGTCCAGCAGGCCAGTAAGCAGGTGCAGGTAGATCTGCAGGATCTAGGCTATGAAACCTGTGGCCGCAGCGAGAACGAGGCCGAGAGAGAGGATGCCAGCAGTCCAGGTGATCTACAGAGATCTGGTGTCTCTGAGACCAAATATCCATCCCTAGCCTTTGCTCTTCCCTTCCTGACCTGGCAGCCTTCACTGAGTCTCATCCTCTCCTGTCCACTCAGAGTTTGACGACTTGGAGATGTGCACGTCGCTGTCCCAGCCCCAGGACTGGGACGCTGTGGGAGGCAGCTGGTATGCTGGTAACAGAGGAGCTCATGAAATGGGGGGTGAGTCTGCGTCTCTCCAGCATGTGGTCCAGGACCTGCGCTCTCAGCTGACCCGCTGCCATAAGGTGATCCGTGGACTCCAGCTAAGAGTGCGCTCGCTGTCGGCCACGAGCGACTACGCCTCCAGCCTGGAGCGCACACCCCGCAAGGTCACTACTTCTTCACCCATCACTGTCGCCTAGATTCTGATCTATTCCACTGGCGGAACAATGCAGGACTTCTGTTTGGTGCTCACCGTGTAGGTTAACTGGGCGTTTGAGAGATCAGCAGCCCACAGCGGAGTGGAGGACGACGAAGGCTGGATGTCAGACACGCAGGGAGTCCGCTCCAGCTCCAGGCCCAGCAGGGAGCTGCAGGAGCTTATGGAGCGAGTCGCATCGCTTGAGGCTCAGTTGAAAACTAATGCCGCTGGAGGCAAAGGTCAAGCAGAGGAGGGGAAATGCGCCACCTGGCCTGGGTGAGAAGGAAAAGGAAAAACTCTGCTTTTTAAACTGAACATTCGATATTTTCTGGAGCAAATCTGCGAGTCATATGACTCCTACCCTGCAAAGAAAACTATGCTCCCTCTTCATACTGTGGTTAACCCTTTGGGGTTTTCCTCATTTCTCTTTTTAGGAAGTATAACTCTCTGATCCAAGCACAAGCTCGTGAGCTGTCCCACCTCAGGCAGAGGATGAGAGAGGGGCAGGGGGTCTGCCACATCCTGACTCAACACCTGGGAGATACCACCAAGGTGCTGCAGTTTCTCACATCTATCATCTACAACATGGAGCAGAAGTGCAGGGTCACATGAGAGGCTTTATGAATTGTTTTCATATTGACTCCAACTCTCAACTGTTTCCAGGCGTTTGAAGAGCTCCTGAGGGCCAATGATGTTGATTACTACATGGGTCAGTGCTTCAGAGATCAGCTGGCTCAGAGCAGCGCCCTGGCACAGAGAGTGCTCACCAAGATCAGTGGAGGTAAGGACATTCTTTTTATTATTATCCTTCTCCGCTCCGGTCTTTCTCTGCTCCTTTAATATGTTGTGTCTCTGATCTTTCTAATTAAAGGTGAGGATGCCGAGAATCAGAGCGACAAACGAGGCCATGAGCTGCTTGCCTTAAGGTGAGATATGAGGATTTTCCTATTCTCTGTATGTGAGAACACGTCTGCAGCTATACACTGCAAAAATTGTAAAACTAAATAAGTAAACCTCCCTTGAATTATGTTCATTTGTTCTTGAATTGAGCAGGTAAGTGACATACTTTGCCAGTTGAATTAGACTATTTACAATTAAAATAAGAAAAAAACAACTGCCGCCTCTTATTTCAAGTGCATAATATCTGATTATCTTATTTAAAGGCTAAATACACTCATTCCATTGGCAGATTGTCCCATTTACTCACTCAAATTAAGGGTAAATACACTTATTTTAAGCATATTTTTACTGATTTTAGGATCGTTTTTGCAGTGTAGGTATGCTGGTCAGATGTTTATATCCACTTAACAGCACCAATGTTATCCCTTTTTCCATCTTAATTCTTCTTTTTACAGGATGGATTATTTTTGATTTGTTGTGTATTTTCTCTGGTTTTAAATACGTTATTCTTCATTGGCATTTTGCAGAGACAGCTCATGCTTTGGCTGCCCTCAGTAAGATTTTGACCATTATTTTCAGTCCCGACTGAAAGTTAGGAAAATGATTCAGTAACATCCTTTCCTACTTTAATCAACAATTCTGGGGCTTTTTGTAGAATTTAAGCCTATTATATAATTTTGAACTTTTATGTATTAAACGTAATAAATTCAAACAGGTGCACCCAATTCTTATTTAATCACTTAAGTTGTTTACACTATTCAGTTTAAACTCGAAGAACTCTGAGAATCAAACAAATCTATATTAACGCAGCATCACAAAGATTTGGAGCACATTGACTGAAGATTATAGTGTATGTACATGTTTAGTCCATGTGTTTTAGGTTACCAAGGTTACCAAGGTCCACCTATTATTCTGCTTTGTCACGTTAAGCAATGAGAAATCACATGGTTGACATTTATGCACTATTTTTGCATGCCACGTATCACTTTACTTGGATTGATCACTTTAGTTGGATACTCACTTTATTTGGCTTTAGTTTTTACATATGCATAGATATATATACATATATCTATATATATATATATATATATATATATATATATATATATATATATATATATATATATATATATATATATAGATAGATAGATAGATAGAGAGAGAGAGAGAGAGAGAGAGAGAGAGAGAGAGAGAGAGAGAGAGAGAGAGAGAGAGAGCGAGAAGAGCTATATGTGTATCTATTATATATATATATATATATATATAAAACTGTAATAACTGGAGCGTGTAACAAAAGTTATTTCCCTCTGGGATTATTAAAGTATTTCTGATTCTGATTCTGATCTGTGCCCACACATATTCAGTCTACAGTGAGACCAAATATTTCCTACAAACTATTGGATGTTTTCTAGAGACTCAGATTCATCCAGTCCTTTGGCCCAAACAGAAACACATACTTTTCTGCTAATAGAAGAATTAAAGTGTTGGAATCTCTCAGCCGTCATTTAGACCTCAACCTGGTTAAAATGCTGCAGGAGGGAATTTGATGTCACAAAAATGTTTTGATTGAAGAGCGTTTCTAATAATTTCCCCATCAGCTTAGAATAGAAGCACTGATTTCTGTTTATCGGATGCAGGCTGAGTAAGGAGCTGCAGCAGAAAGATCAGCTCATTGAGTCGCTCCACACAAAGCTCCAGCAGCGCCCTCAGACTCCATCCAGCTGCCACGCCCTCTCTGAGACCACTGACCATTCAGACAGGACCTCCCTGGTGTCTGATGAGTACCAGAGCAATGAAGACCTGGAGCTGTGCTCTGATATGATAACCACAGAGTTTCAGGAGGAGCAGCGGCTGCGGCAAGAAGGGCCCTCATTAGAACCTGAAGGTATTCTTTAGCTTCTAAGCTGATGTTTTTCTCTCTGTCTGTGATATGCATCTTTGTGCCCCTTCATCTTCCATACCCCTCTTCTAGTCCGTCCATCTCTCCCACCTCTTCGAGGCCTCCTCAAGGCTTCCAACAGCTGTCCCAGCATGCTTTGCTCAGCCCCTGTAGGTCTGAACACTCCTGCAGGTAGAGGTATGGAGTCACAGCATAGAAGGAAAAAAAAAATCATCTTTTTTCTTTTCTTTTGTTTGCTATGTTTCATTTCCTGTCATTCTCCTCCAGTCCCTTTCAGTGCACCCATCTCCTCCCTCTCTGTATTCTCTGGCCCTGACGTCTGGGGTTATGAAGTCCTTTCTGACCCCCGGCCCAGGGCCCTGTCTGTTGCCGCTGTTCGCCCAGAGCTGGACATGCTCTACAGACAGATGCATGAGCAGAACAGGGGTGAGCGGCCTCAGAGAGTGTGTCCTGAGTGAAAGGCTTTAAAGTTGTTCGTTTCACGCCTGCTTTGACTCACCCCTATCTTCCTTTTCTGCATGTGTCTGATTACAGGTTTTCCAGTTCTTTCACCCGGCCCTCATACCCACCATGACCTCTCAAGCTACAACCAGCTATCCCATCATGCCTTTCAACACTACCAGCTTGGGAGCGTCCCTCAGAGCAACTCCATTAAATCTGACTCCGGTGTTATAAGAGGAGGGCCTCTGTGGGACATGGACGGCATAGCTCAGCCAGCTGGAACCTTTTCTGAAAACCAAACAGCGAGCAGCCAAACAGGTGTGATGATAATTCTTAGATGGTCAAGAAAGAAAAATTGTGGGTTTTTTTTGTTTGTTTTTTTAAACTATGGTGCCCTGCAGTTCTTTTATCTCTTTAAAACCACACCTCTGCTGAGATGGGACCAACAAGGAGCCCGCTATCCGTACTGAATGGCATGGTGATTGCAACACCATGCTGTGTCGATTTTATGTCCAGAACAATTTTCTAGATTCTCTTCGATATTCTCTAGAAATGAAACAACCTGAGCTTTAAACATATATTCATTTATAATATTGATAAAATACTTTTTTGTAGTGTGAAAAAAATGAAAAAAGGGTTGAAGCAGTTTAATTTGGTTTGCAAGGCATTTTGTTACAACATAACCGTTGTGATATTTGCCTGTAGAAGTAAATTTAATGGAGGAGCACCTCCGGGAGGTGAGATGTCTACGCCAGCGCTTGGAGGAGTCCATCAGAACCAATGAGAGGCTCAGACAGCAGCTGGAGGAGAAACTTGCCTCCACTAGGCAGAGTGGAGGTGAAACATTTCCCCATGCTTAATACCTCACAATAGCATCTTTTTTATTCACCTTTTAATAAAAAATTATTACCTTTGGCTTTTTAGGAGCACCGACAAACATTTATATCCAGGGCCTGGACACAGTCACTCAACTTTCTAATGAAATCAGGATCCTGAAAGAGGAAAATCTGAGTCTTCAGTCTCGCCTGCAGGCCAGCACAGGTACTTAGTGTTAAACTTAGAAACAACAGAATTTATTTGTGTTTTATGCATTTTCAATTCAAATTACATTATCTTTTAGACACAAAAGAAGAAGTGGTGCAGCTGCAGGAGGCTGTGTTCACAGCCAGAACCCGTTTAAAGCAGGCTGAGCTGGAGGCCGAGCAGTGGAAGGAGGAGCTGAGGCGTCTGCAGGCTCACACTCAGGAGCAGGGGCAGCAGATTCATGCTCTGAGACAGGAGCGGCAGGCCAACCAGGACAAAACCAACAGGTGGCTGTATCTTTCAGCACTGTTTCTCTCACTCTTGTTGTGTAAATACTTTGAACTATAAAGTGTCACTCACCCTATCAGGCTACAGCATGAGATGTCCCTGCTGCAGCAGCAGCTGAGTGAGAGCAGGGAGCTGATCCACTCACTGCAGAGTGAGCTGCATGTTTACGATCGAGTGTGTTCCAGCACCAAGGCCAACAAAGGTCAGTCAGTCATTCTTTTCCTACATTTTAGCACTGAAGTTTCAACATCTACAGTTTTGTAAGATGCTTTGGCGCCATCTAGTGGTGCCAAAGCACATTTCAATGTATTTTCTGTGATGTTAGTTCCCCCTTTAATAAAAATCCCTTCTACTGTAAATATAGAAAAAACAGACTGCATGTGCTAAATTGTATCTTTGAGCATTAATTTTGTTCATGTCTTCACACAGATTTTTATTGCATTTAGGTCCAGACTTTGACTGCACCATTGTAACAGGATATAATTTCATCTAAACCATCCCATTGGATGTCTAGTTGTATGTTTAGTGTTCTTGTCCTACTGGAAGACTAACCTCCACAGCATTATTAAGTCCTGGACCTTAATTTTGCCAAACTGCAAACAGGACTCATTAATGCTTTCTTTCTTGTTTTTTTCTAGTTACTACATAAAGGCCAGAGATTTAGAGTATGCACCTAATAGAAATAATTTCCCTCACACTTTAGAATTGTGCATCACATAAAACCCAACAATGAATTTAAGTTTGTTTTTTAATTTGAAGAAATTAAGAAAATTTCTTTCCTGTATTCGTCCTGTTCAGGTTACCTGTGTGAGGTTGCAGGTTTCCCTGTGGAGCTGGGGGAGCTGCTGGGGGAGGTCAGGAGTCTGCGGGCGCAGCTGCAGAGCAGCGTCCAGGAGAACAGCGCTCTCAAACAGCTGGAGCTCCACAAACAGCTGGAGCAGAAGTTAGGAGTTGGATCACCTCGGACTCCGTCTCTGTCTGCACTGACTGCCAGCCCTCAGAGGGAAACCTTCTACAGACGACAGCTGCTGCACGGTTAGACACAGCTTTCTAAATATAAGTGATACGTTTGTGATGCTCGGTGTGCTGTGCTGTGGACTGCAGTGTCTTCAAGCCTGCACTGTGTGTCTGTGTGCTTCACAGACCCGGCACCGTCTCCACCGGTCAGGGACATTGGTCTGTTTAACTGTGGATCACCTGGTCCCCCCTACTTAGACCTGGATGACAGCCATAGCCCTTCCAACGGTGTGACTTTAACTGATCCTGCTTTACAGTGGTGTATGCATGCTTTTTAATAATAATAACTCCGTTTTGACTTTTATGCACCTGTTTCTGCATAGGTGTGTGAGATCTAAAATCTACTAATAATCTTTACCAGAAAAAATCAGATTCTCATTAAAGTCTTTAGAAATCTAATGCACTATAAACATTTTCCAGCAGACCCTCTTGACCCACACTCAGAACTGGAAGGGGAGGCACCTGATGGATCGTTTGCAAACCGTAACGGTCGCCACTACATTGGCCACATTGATGACTTTAGCGCTCTCCAGCAGCAAGTCCTAGAGGGTCGGAGCCTGATCCAGCGCATGGAGACGACCCTGCAGGCCTGCCTGGGCCCACCGCTGCTGGAGGGCGAACAGAAAGAGGGCTGCGAGCTGGTCTGTTTTTCAATACTGACATGAGCTTTTTTCCTAAAACTGTAAAATCCTCCTATCTGACTGAGTTCTGCTTGCAGGTTGTAGACTTTGGGTGTGTGAAAAACCTTCTGTCTAACACAAAGACTCTGAGGCAGATCTTGGAGGAGGCGTTGTCTCTGCTAAAGATGTTCTGGAGAGCAGCTCTGCCCAACGCAGATCCCTCCTTACAAACCCTTAAGAAGGTTCACTAGCATAAACGTATATTAAACTGATTTACTAATGTTAAATCAGAAATGCTGAAAAGACTATGTTTGTATCTGTGTAGGAGCAGTGCCTGCAGGAGGAAATTTTTTCCTTAAAACTGCGAATATCTGAGCAGGAGGAAGTTCTTAAAGGGACAGTACAAAGACTAAGGAGCACCAGCCGCACCAAGGAGAGCATGGAGCACTTCATAGTCAGTCAATGTGAGTCTTCAACAAACGTCTTGTCCACTAAACTGTGGGGAAAAGGCAAATCCTAGTCTGAAGGGTGTGTAATAAAAGTAGTATGTTCAACAGAACAACACTGGTCTCCTCACTGAAGGTATTTAATGACTTCTAAACATTGTAGTAGTTCCACGTTCAATAGTTAAAACTGGTTACCAGCACAGCAAACTGGACTGCTTATTAAAGAAATGTAAGTGATAGCTTTACCATGAAGAAGCACTAAGCGCTTTTTAAGTTTTAAACAGAGTACAAAGAAGGCAACTTGCAGGGAAACTGCAGTTCTTGGAACTGCAACTGCGACTTTCGGTGCATCTTTGTTAAAAAGCATCCCTGCTAAAACAAAACAGTTAGAGGCTGAAAAAGACTTGATGCATGAGACAATGATAAGAATGCATCCAGAGACGCATTGGTACGTTTTAGATCGGGGTTCTGCAACCTTTACAATCTAAACAGTCCTTTTTTACTTCAGTCCAACTGGTAAAACTCAAATAGAGCTGCAAACATTTCCTGTCTCTTTTAAAAAAAGGAAAAAGATAACTTATATTTAACAGATATACACCACAGGTTGCTGTTATTTTTGGAAAATCATGTTATTTTCCCCTCACATGAAAAGATCAAAATACATTTATTTCTTACATAATTAGAAGTCAATTTATTTTGTGAATTGAAAAAATGTACTTCAGTCCGATTACCGGTAATAAAACTTGTTTATAAGCATTATATTGCATTTTTCACAAAAAGAAACTTATATTCAATGACTATCAGCCAGAAGAAATTTGGAGTTTTAAAATAACCAGTTCCATTTAATCTTTTTGTTTTTTTAAATGAAGGAAAAAAACTTTCAAACGGGTTTCTAATATTTTTTTTAAAATCATGTTAACAAATTCTTTTCCCACTTTCCCATCAATCAAAATATATGATTCTGTTATAATTGGAGTTGATTTTTTTGAGGGCAATTAAATGCATTAGTTAGTGGAGAAAGTTCTAATATATGGATTTGTTAGTATAACTAATGTTCAAAAATTAGCTTGCTCTTAATCATTTTTAGTGATGAAGTGAGTGTCTAAAGAGCCACTTGTGGCTCCGGAGCCATAGGTTGCTTTAGATCTAAGCATATTTATCTGTTAAAAACAGCCTAGTAAAAGTCCACAAATAAACCCCAAAAATAATTTGTTACCACTAAAATATTAAATGAAACAAATTATATAAATGGGACAGTTTTCATGGGTTCTTCAGTCCAATCATGTATAATTTTCTTCTTCATCGTCACAATCTGCTCTAGTCGGTGTTCTCCTCACAACTTCAAACCTCTTAACATTTCTCAACAGGCTAAAGATTTGGATGCTTTGTTTTTTTGCAGTGTCGCGGACTCGTGATGTGCTGAAAAAAGCTCGGACAAATTTAGAGGTAACAATGGTCATATTCACTAAGTTACACCTCTTATTCCTCGTGTAAACTCAGGGTTCCTTGTTGTGATGTCTGTGTTTTAAGTTCATCACTCTGCTGTCTCCCTGTTCCTTCATTCTGAATTTGTCTCTCCTCCTTTCTCCCCCTATAATCCCTTTAGAAGAACGAGCTGAGACTCTCCTCTCTAAGCTCCTCCCCCTCCTCTCCTCCTGCTGGTAATTGTCTCACATCCTCCGGAGTGACACATGGGTTCATGCATGTCTCATTCTTTCCATTTCTCATTACCTTGCTCTAAAAACCAGAGATGCTATTACCCTTTATTTTCTTATCACTGCTTTCACATCCTATCAAACACTGAATTCTATCTTTATTTTTATCTTTTTTAATCAAAAAACTAACAAAACAAAGTGTAGAGCACAAAACACACTTCTTCACATTATGCTTCCTTAACCAGGATACATCCAACCCTCTCAACATTTATTGGTTCTCCTGATGTTTAAAAAGCAAAAAAAATAATAATAATTCATTTTTATTCCAGTGGAAAGAAAAAAAATAATAGGATCATTTTGGGTCATCACCTTGAAGTTTTCCTACTGAAATAAAAGATTCGTTGACAATTTTTGCCAGGAATGCCAATAAATTTGGAGCTAGCTGCATATATTGGGTTTTTAGATTTTCAAAGTTTTTTCCAAAGCCACCAACATGTGTGTGTTTGCTGCCTTAGTTTCAGGGATTTATTTGAGAAAATCTTTAGAAAGAATTTACTTTTATGCTGCAGAAGTGACCAGAGGTATAAAACCATAACACCAGAGGCATAGAGGGGAGTTTTACTGCTCTGTGTGATAACATTGCTTATCGTGTGATCACTCATCCTCAGTTTGTCACCTGCAACTTTTGCTTTGGGATAGAACTCTGACAAGCTTAACATTTTACGTTATAGCCATCTGGGGGCTTGTTTTTGAATGAATTGTTTGACATTTTGGAAATGATGTTCTAACCTTGTTTTTGACTTAAAAGTCACTGTACAACATAAAAATAATGTTCTTAAAAAACAAAAACAAGAAGTTTTATTTATTCTTTTGCCGAACAGGGTCAGGACATGTTGGACTGCTTTAGCAAGTTAGGCTTTAACTGTTAATCTTGTATCCCTCCAGAGCCTTATTTATTTATAACTAATATATTTAAAAATATATATATACCTTTGACAGGGAAGGTTACACTGGCACCTCAGCTGCAACTATTATTTTCTGTTTTTTATTGCTGCCTGGATGTTTGTTCATTTAAACTCGTTTTCTTGGAGTAACCAGATTTCAAAGCCCAAATTAAGAATAGATTATGAGCCTATTAATCTTAAATTCCCATTGGATTTACCTTTGGGGGAAAAAAGTTTCTAATTTCTTTACCTGAAGAGAAGTTATAAAATGTTTCTGTTTCTGCAGCCACCAGCAGCAGTGTAACAGTTCCCCCAGCATGATGCTGCCACAGCTATACCTAACAGTTTGTAAACTAAAGCCTCACCCTTTTACACCCTGTGATCAGGAATTTATACTCATTAATGAGTATCTCTATTAGAGCTGCAACTAACGATTATTTTGCAAATCGATTCATCTGTCAATAATTTTTTTCGAGAAATCGATTAATAATCAGGTCACAAAATGTTCCTTGAACAAGATTTTTTACGAAATAAACCAGGTGAAACTACAACTTTTCCGCTTGAGAAATTCTGGATGGAGCATAGTGACAGACGAAAACTTTTTTTATCCTAAATTCAAAATGTTGACATTTTTTTTTTACCATTTTTGGTATAATTACTGCTCTAAATGTCTAGCTCTTTCAGTTAAAGGTTCTAGAGCCTCTCTACTCCAATTAGTGATTAATCGAGTACTAAATTAGTTGATGATTTTTTCAGTGATTGATTAATCACAATTAATCCAATTAATTGTTTCAGCCACTGTCCCTATTTCTCTTGTTTTAACTTTTAAAAGTTTTTATCACAAAACTTTGGCTTTAACAAGCTTCAGCTTGAATCACAAGGCGTCAATGTTGAAACAGGGGCTCATTTCTTAGCATATTCAATCTCACTCCAGGATGATAAATAAGGAGCCTGGACCCAAAGGACCCTTTTAGTCCCTCTTTAATGTTAACTTGTAAGTATTTTTTTTGCTGTGTTACAGCTGCCAGCATTAGGCACTCCATTGATGAATTATTTGGATCAAGACCTTTAAATGCATCTCACTTCTTATCACAGCCATGGATAAACTTTTATTTGACCTCTATTTACTAGTTTAAATGTCCATTACTTAGTTGAAATGTTAAAGTTGTGTAATTAACCTGTCGGCTATGGAGCCAATGAAGGGATCTGAATACAGACTCTTCCTTATTTGTAATTAGATTATTATTTACAAAAAATATATATATCCTGGCAAATAAATAAATAAAAAATCCAGTCTTTAGGATTAAAACTCCAGATAAAATGTAATCATAGCCTTCATACATTTTGTCTTCTGAATATCTCAGATAAACCCACAGTTTTTATCTGCTGTTCTTCATGTTAATTTTACAGAGGAATCAATAAGAAGCTGCCATCGTGGAAAGAAAACATGGTTAAAGCATTATTTGACATAAACTTTGTGTTTACCATATTTTGCTAAAATACTTCACATATGGTAGATATATCGTCTGACACTTTAAGATAGTATATAAAATCAGATGATATAGAAAAAAATTGGTTGTGGTACTGTTGTGGTACTGTTAAAATGATTAGTGCTTAAAAAGAAAAAGGTAAAAGATTCATCCATGGAAAAAAAGTCATCTACTCTTCGATTTAGCTCTTAATAACAAAGTGAACATTTTACCAAAACTGTCAAACCATCCCTTTTACATTAACCTGTTTCCAGACGCTTTTTACAAGCTCTAATTTTTTTTCCTTTCCCGTTCAGCTGAGGACCTTAGAGGTACTTCCAGAGCATGGCCTCCTGATCAAGGTTTCCTGAAGCGCAGCGGCTTCCCTGCAGTCGCAGGAGGAGAAGCTAATCAGCGTCTGGCAACCAGGAAGCGGAGCAGCGAGTGTCTGCTTTAGACAGTCAAAGCACCAAACCCAAGTGCTCCCATCTCTGACCTCTCTGCTTAAACCGAACCTCCTCTGCATCCTGCACACCAGCCTGCCCTTTTCAATTTAACCTATATCAGCTTTTCCCTCCAATTAACCCTTTCATCTTTGGGACAATACAGTCACAGTATAAGCTGAACCTCCAGCCTCCCTTCCTCCTCTTCCCACCTCATTTGTTTTGTCTTTGAGTGAAACTGTCAGCAGTTTGCCTTGCTGTGTGTTAGACTGAGAGGCAATTTGAAAAGTGCTTCTGATGGTTTCAGGGATGTGCGTCCTGAAGACCGAAGTGTCTGAAGATGCCTTTAATCTCCGGTTGTGATTGTAACTGTTTCTAGTGGGTTTCAAAAGTATTTCAGGTACAGAGTCGTCTCCCATCTGAACCCACACAGAGCCAGACAGCCTGTAGACAAAGAGGGTTTGTGAATGTTTAAAGTGGATTTGAGAAGTATTCTTCACACAGGTACATACACATATAGTCATCTATTTGTGTGTGATCAAATAGCGCACTCAAAGACAAATCAATTCCCCCTAAAGCTGCCACTAAAATGCAATTCTCTAACTTGTGGCAGTAACGTTTTTTGCAGATGCAATGCAAAGAAAAGTGACTTAAGCAATCTCTCCCTGGACGAGGAATGTACTGTATTTGGGCTGTGTGCTTGCTGTTCTTGTGGAGAAAGCTAATAAATAGTAAGGCATTCAGTAGCTAAGTTGATTTGTTGTTGAGTGATGCTACAGCAAAGTCCTATGCCCCCATTTTTTGTGTCTCAAAATTTGCAAAAACAGAAAAAAAAAACTCATAAACCAAGCAGAACTGGGAGTTGGGGTTACCAGAGGAAGCAGGCCGATCACACGTACTCTCTGCCCAGCGGGGTTAGTCGTACGAGCATGTGCAATAACGATGTTTCTTCAGTAATTATGCTGCACTGCATCATAGTTCACAGTTTTTGTCACAATTTGGACACAACCAGTGTCATGGCTGTATTTATTTCTTTCGTGTTGATGCATGACAGGGATTGTGTACATGAAAATCTGGGCGTTGGAACATCATTGCTGATATTTGCCAAAGTTTGAGACTTAATCTTTTTCAATCTGAATTACCATGTCTACATGAATGAGAAAAAAACGGGTTTAACAGCATCAGCATTACCAGGCTGTCTTGTTTTTTTCTTCCTATTTTTAAAGAGAAGACATCCCGTGTGTTTTGAAACTTTTTTTGGACCAACACTTCAGTGGGTTTTTCAGTCAAAGCTATTTGCTATCGTATCCGCTTGTCATTTGTAATATTTCCTAAAAAATAACAAATTCATACAAAAATTCAAACTTTGGCAGGCTGTCCATTGGCTCAATATTCTTTCAATTTTCATCTAAAAAAGCCCATATTCACTTTTCTTTTAGCTCATTATTTGCTGTACATGATGCCATTTTGTGCTGTTTATAGCTTTGTATACATTTTAGGGATATTTGTGTGAAAACATCCAACATTTGCTTTTTTTGCAAAGTTGAGTATATCTGGGTACTTGTGCAATAGCTTGTTTTGGTTTATTTTGATGTTAAACATCACTACGATGTGTGTGTGCATTAGCTACTCACCTCCTGCTGGGTACACTTCGTACACAGTGTGTATTAAAGAATGAAGCCACTTTAAATGTGTTATTTGCAAAGGCTTACACCTGATAAGTAATAGCAGACTATGCCTTTATCTAAATAGTGTAATACACTGATCAGCTATGATACAGCTCCTGTTAATGTTGCTTCGCTTGCCTTTAACCTTAGCCTGAGAGTTTGCTCTCAGAGGTAGAAATGGCCTTCACCAAGCGTCTGCTTGATTTCTGTTAAAGTAGGTTTTGTTCACGCTCGATTTTTCAGGAAAAAAAGACAATAAAGACAAAAGAAAGTTGCCAAGTAACTCAAACTTATAGGGAGAGTTTTTGAAGAATTGTTTTTTTTTGAAAATGTTTTCTGAAATGATTGTGAAACACAAAATTAACAGAGCACCTTGTTAGAGCGTAAACAAAGCCTTTTTTTTGTTGCTATTTGCTAATGAGAAGGGAACCAAACAGTGGATTATTGTTGGTATTGAATTGCATATGTATATATCGCTATCCGATCGGTGCAGGCTTATCCTGAGTTTGTGCTTCTTGAACTAGTTGGCCGATGCAGGACTCTGATGGATCCTGTGTCTGATCAGGTGTGTTCTGTCGATGAAAATGTTTTAACGATGATAAATTGTGAGAAAGAGTGAATAAAGCACTGAAAAATGTTGTGTGGTTTTCTCCTAATATGTTAGCTTGATTTAATTTAGATCTGGAAATTGTTTCTTCTACATAGGTGGTAGCTGATAAGTAAGATTTCATTAAAGCAATGACTGTAGATGCAATAAAAAATGAACTGGTTCTCCAAAAGGTGAGTACTCCACACTTTCGTATCACCAGGACACCCGGAAAACAACATTCTTCGGTTTGGACGATGTTCCTGAATTTCAAATTTAATCAGCGTTAGTAGGGTGTTTACAATGAAGTAGTGAAAGCACAAAGCTATTTAAAGGAGTCTTTGTTTTCCACAACATTTGAGACATGGTTATACTTCAGGTTGTGAGAGAGCCCAAGACTTTAAGTAACATCCTGTAACTTACTTAAAGTGAGTTACAGGATGGCCAAATGGAGTACAGAAAAGTTTATCCAACTAGCTCTTTTGAACCAGGACTGGATTTAGGATTAGCTGCAGCAGGATTACGGGGCCCTACCCATAAAACTTTCTTTTACACAGGAAAATACATCCATCCATCCATTTACTGACACGCGCACCCCCCAAGTGGGGTCGCAGGGGTGCTGGTGCCTATCTCCAGCTGTCTACGGGCGAGAGGCGGGGTACACCCTGGACAGGTCACCAGTCCATCACAGGGCAACACGAGACAAACAGGACAAAGAACCATTCACATACACACTCTCACCTAAGGAGAATTTAGAGAAGCCAATAAACCTAACAGTCATGTGTTTAGACTGTGAGAGGAAGCTGGAGAATCCACGCATGCTCAGGGAGAAGATACAAACTCCATGCAGAAAGACCCCGGGCTGGGAATCGAACCCAGAACCTACTTGCTACAAGGCAGCAGTATCCTCCACTGCCACTTAGCAGCCCCCACAGGAAAATTAAAACTGATCAAATGCTTATGTCTAGTCCACATGATATATATTTAGAAAATAAATATATATATCAAATTATTGACAGATGAATATTTAGAAACTTTTTCAAATTCAACACTTTCATGTAATGCATCGTTTATAGATATAGTTTCATTGATACAAAAATGGATCCCAAGATGCAATATAGATGGTGTCCAAATGTCCACCCTAATCACTACGTAGGGCACTATATAGTGATTACGCCATTTTAGATGAGTTTCCAAACATCTAGTGGATAAAAATGTAGTGGACTCGAAATTCCCACAATGCAGTGCACCTTGAAAAGTAAGGATCATCCGAGCAGATATATAAGGGAATGCTTTGCGTTGAGAGCTCTCCTCGCAAAGCATTATGGGATTTGGTGTCACGGCTGCCCGCTATTGTCATAGGCTGTTGCCACCTGAGAGTGGCGACTACAGACAAAGATGGTACAGGCATCGTGCGGGGGGGCAGATTTATGTGACCAACTGGGAGCGAAAAGTATTGATCATCTGTCCGAACGGTCAGCTACCGTACCATTTGGACCCTGCTCTATAAAGGGATTGAGGTATCTAGGAGTTAGGGCGGACGTACGGACTCACCCATAGTGACTGTATTTGATTGTGTAACTGAATCACCTCAAACCCTCAAAACTAAGAGATGGCAATTTTAAATTGGTTTTAACTTTCAGAAAGATTTGTATAAAATATCCAAAGAATTGTCTCATATTAACATGGGCTTAACCACATACATATGTTATACATCTTTAAAATGCAATATTTGCTAAGCAAGTTGTTAAAAAACAGTCTTGGAAGAGGAACTAAAGGCTCCCTAGTCTTTGATAAAGACTGTCTCTGTGTCTGAGGTGTTGGCTTTAGTGGAACATCCTTAATTAGGAAAATCTCACAACCTTTTTGAAATAATTGAGAGAAGCTAAGGATCAATGGTGTCTCAGATACACAAGCAGAGGCTGAATTTTTATTTAATCTAATCCTAACCAGGCTGATCTCTTATGTGCCACGCTACAGCTGGTTTCCAATAGCATAATTGTTTGTTTTTTTTTGTTTTTCTGTTGTTCTTTGTAGATTATTATTCTTAAAGAGAAATCAAAATAGTTGTATAGAAGTTTCTAAGATTTTATCTAACTTGTGAGACTGTCACCTTATGTAATCAGTGGTCATTAGTTAAGCCATGTGTTTAAAATAGATCAACGTATCTGCCTATGTTTAGAAGACGGTTAAAGAATGATTTTACCGAAAAAAAGCTAGAAGATGTAGTCTAATGTGGTGTAGCTGTAGGATGTTAAAAAGGATGGAAATCTGAAATCCATCATTTGTTTTTACCTAAAAGAAAAAAATGTTTCAATGGGAAAAAAACCAGAGTAGGTATTCGATAAAATCAATAAACGAAAAAATGAATTCTAAATGCATGCATTTAAAATAGATACATTAGGATATTTTTCTTTTGTCATGATGATAATTTTAATTTACCTTCTATAGGATAAATTAGAATTAGTTGTGTTTAAAAACTAAAAAATATTTAATTGTGAGAATATTTACTTTCTCAGTCTTGCTTCCTTTATTTCTATGGGGGAGTTGGCAAACTCCCCCATTTCTATGGGGGAGTTTGCCAAATCTTACTGCGAGATTTTTAGTAATATCAATCCCACTTCTTTAACTTGTGTCCTAAAAACCTTGTTTTTAATTCTGTGTATTTTTTAAGAATACTATTGATGCATTATGGTTGATGTGACGCCGTCACAGCCATACTGTTCCTTAAGAAAGACTGCAAAAAAAGTAATGATGAGGTTTTTCTTTTGCACTTCATCCTTGTTTATTTTTTAATTATTCACTATTATGTTATTCTTATACATATCTCTAAGGCCCACATTTGTGTCATAATTTTTTCTATAACCTTTTTGCTGCTGTAAACACCAGTTTCCCCATTGTGGGACAATAAAGGATTTTCCATTCTATTATATTCACTTATATCACGATAGCACCACAAAATATCATATAGCAGCGCGGGCTGGCAGCGAAATAAAACTTTTCACTTAGAAAAATAAAAAAAGGAAACTCAATCGAACACTTAATTACGGCAGTTTGTGCGCATGCGCGTTCTTATGTTTATATTTGCCACAGTACGGGACGTCACACGGCAGAGTGTGTAACGTGAACTGAGGACAAGGTGGAAAAGGAGAAAAGAAGATCTTCTCTCAGCTGCTTGTTCATATTTTCCTGTCAGTATAAATCCGCTTAGTTAGCGATGCATCGAGGCTTAAAATATCTGATATCTGTTTGTCTTCACATCCCCATTTTTTCTTTCCTTTTTTCCAGAAAGGCGGGCGGCTTCTTTGGTTTGTGACATGGCAAACCCTTTAAAGGGTGAAGTTATTAGACTGTACAAAACTGTGAGTTCTGATCACTGCTTCCTTACTGCTGATGGCAGGCATAGATTAAAAACGGGTAAAATGACGATGAAGCACGTTTATAGTTTTGAATATATGGATGCTTTACTTTCCTAAAGCTTTTGAAATAATTTATGGGGTTTAGATATAAACTTGCCCTTCTTTTGACTTTAAATCACAATATAATGTGATATGGGGAAAAGAAACAGTAAAAAATGGTTCCAGACATATCTGACTGTGATGTCTAATTATAAATATATATAATATAATTAATAAAATATATATATATATATATATATATATATATATATATATATATATATATATATTTATTGTTTCTATATGTGAACATGTTTCCATTATTCTCTTCCTACCTGCATTTTATTTTGTGTAAACAAGCCACTTTAGTTCAGCTGCTTAATGGTACATGGCATTTATCAAATCTGACTCTAAAGCTGTTTGCACTGCATGCAATCATTCACACACTACATGTGAGGCAGACTGAAAAAGATGGAGTGGGGACTTGAACCGGCAACCTGCTCCCCTTCCTCCTGGGCCACTGTTTTTTGTTTTTTTCAAACCACAAGGATAAAGTCTCTAAAAATCATCAAATCTCCCTGTCTATATCGATTTATTTTAAGCTTTGTGTCCTGAATGAAAAAGTGTAATCAAAACAAAACTGAGTAGTGTGACTGTACTGCACAATATATGATCCCCTTAATCTGTGGTTAAATTCTCCTTCCTTTCTCCCTGTTGTAAGAGGATTTGACAGTGTCCAGCTTTTGACCCAAAAAGGTCTTAAATCAAGTGGCTAAAATGCTTTCGTTGAACACTGGCTCGTTAGGACAGGAGTTTGAGACCACTGCTTGATGAGGTGACTGTGTGAAGGAGCTCCATGCTCTGTCTGTTTGTCCAACAATCTTGCATTTGAAGGCTGTTCATGTTTGACCATTTCAGCAGTTACTTTAGCACAGTAGTAAGGACTCCAGCTGTCATATTGCTTCGTTATTTGCCCCGTTTTTACTATAGAAATAAACCACTGCTTCTTCCAGCGTGGTGTGTCATTCCCGCAATTCACAGAACCTAACTTCAGTTTAATACAAAAATATTTAACTCTGTGAACTGAAAATTTTTTTCTAATCCTCCAGCTGCTATATCTTGGCCGTGAGTACCCAAAGGGAGCGGCGTATTTCAGAGAACGCCTAAAGTCCGCTTTTATGAAGAACAAAGACGAGACCGACCCTGAGAAAATCAAACAGCTGGTTGCCAGGGGAGACCACGTCATCAAAGAGCTGGAGGCCCTTTATTTCCTCCGAAAATATCGGGCCATGAAGAAGCGTTACTACGAGCCCGAGAATTAAGGATGAACATTATTTTTCTAAAAAGGGACGCATGAAGGCAAGGAGTAGAGACTTCAGTGTAATTAATGTTCCCTCCAAACCCTTTTGGTAAGATACCCTAGCTTTCAGAAAACAGGGGTGTCAAACTGGTTCCAGAAAGGACCGTGTGGCTGCAGGTTTTCTTTCCAACCAAGCAATAGCACACCAGACTCCATTCATCTCATCAAGTCATCATGTTAAGACTGGACACACTCAGTCTGGTGTTCTATTGCTCGGTTGGAAAGAAAACCTGCAGCCACACGGCCACCATTTCTTCTTTGCTAAAAATGTACTTTTAAATAAAAATTTCGCAAATGCATTTTTTGATTGGTTAAAACCCCACAGCATTATGCTGCCACCACAGTTCCTTACCAATCACAGCATTCTTTTGTACTGAATGTTCTTGACATATTCTGTTAATGAGGCCCGATAGCCATCTTTATCCAGGCTGGCCCTAAAACTTCTATTCAAAGCCATTCAGGTGGTGCAGTAGCACCTAGACTCCTCTTAAGTTTAGTGTTTTGGTGCAAATCACATTTTCTTTAGAGATTTCACGTCATATTCTTGTTTTATTCAGATTGTAATCCTTAAGATTCAAAGGGCTATGTGCTTTCTGTTATCATCTGATTGTTACAGTAGAATGACTGAGTTTTGTATAATGAAGTGGAGGTATAATCCTTATTAATACATGTTTAGAGCAAATGTCAAGTTACTGCTGGAGCCTCTGTACTATTCTATATCAATGCACTGTTCACAGAAAATAAATGTTTTTTTTATAAGCTGTGTCATGCGTCCACATTGCTTTGCAGCAATTTTGCTCCCAAAGTGCAGGTTAGAATTGTGGTTCCTAAAGCTTCTAAAAGTATATTGGTTGGCAGACCAGGCTCCTCACCTTTGGAAGCAACTTGCAGCGTAAGTTCATGAGGCAGGCACTGCCTGCTTTCAGGCTAGGATAACAGGGTTTTTTTAGCGGACTGCTACTGCTATTAGCCAGGCCAATAGCAGTAGAAAAACAGATGGATCAGCCACTAACTTTATGCCTTGTTAAAGGGAACGTTTTTGGCCCATTCTCAGCATAATGACCTCTTTACCTCACTGAAATGTTGGATTATCTACAGTTACTTCAAAGGTTAACCTTTTTTCATGTCTTTCTCTTTGTTCTAATTACATCACCATCTTGTGGGTGGATATTGATTGTGCTGCTACCAGTGATTCCAAATTCTTCAAAAAAAACAATCCACCTGTTTCTGTCACTTTTTAAATCTCTTTCTCTCTCCTATCATTGCAGACAGTCTCAACAGTGACAAAAAGCTTTCAGCTTATATGGGAACCACTTGCAGGACCAACAAATCCCTTTTTATATGTGCAGACAATGAATTCAAAATTAAAAGGAAATACTTAATGAACAAAATGTACCTTTTAATCTGTGGCAGTCCTTATCACAGCCCTGTTAGTTCAACAATCAACACATAGATACAGTACATTCATATATCAGAACAAATCAATTAAACTTAAAAATAAAACATTTAATTGGAGAAGCTACAGGACAAAAGCTTTGTGCTGGTGCATAGTTAAACACATCAACACTCCTGCTCAGAGGATGGTAAAGTGCTAACAATCAAACCAGCTTAAAGGCAACAACAGAAAGAACAGAGAGGATTCATCAAAGTTCTCCATCAGGATTAGCAGTTTTCCTGTCAAAACAACTCTGAAAAGACTGACTAAAGTATTCATATTTATATTTTTCACCACTGCAGCGGAAATTTGTTTCCAAGGGTCTTTTAGAAACTTAAATACCTCTTAAGGAAATCCTGTAAAACCAACTATGCCTATTTGATGGATAGAGCCAACTTCTGTTTAAAGGAATCTCTGTAAAGGTTTGTTGGCAGAATCTATGAAAAAACCAGGGGTCTGGTGGCACACAGCAGGTTCTGTACAGTATCAACAAAACAATAATTGGAATTTCTGGTCATATCTATTCCATCAGGGCTCATATTATCCTCTAGCATGTGGATGAAGGTGTTGTGGACCAGGCTGCCAGGAACATGTTCTGGAGAAAAAGCTTCACTGTTCTCTGTAATCTTTAGTTTCTGACTCTTCTCTGCACCCACGAGGTATACGCCCCACGACGCTTCAGGTACAGGGGAGGGGTCATGGTGCTCACACACCTGGGATGGATGGAAAGAGGAATGAAAACAACAGAAAGATGAAGACGAGCTGCTTTGGGCTATTGGGTCTATCTTTAATCTTTGCCATGGCCACAGCTTTGCCGAAGTTTTGCAGAAGTATTCATGAAAGCTAAGAGGTTCAACATGTCTCTGGTACATTTTATGTAACATACCAATGCAAACTAGTGCTAAACTGTGAATTAGGAGCAAATAAATGCAAACATTTCAACCTTCATGAAAAAGTGAAATTCAAAAAAATTACGATTTGCATATCTTTGTAGCCCCACAAATACCTTTGGATTAATTCTTTACAACCAATAGAAATGTTCAAGTTTGGCAGAAAATTACAATTGACGCTGAACTTTGATTGGGTCATTCTATCACCTTAATGTTTTTGCCTGGAGACGCCATGACAACGGATGGATCTCTCCCTATGACCACGGTTTAAACTTTCAACCTCAGTCTCAACTCTATCAGACACTTTTTATTTCTATCCAGGTCTACCCTTTTTTTTAACTTTTTCTTCTCATCAACTTTAGCCGTCTGCCCTCTCCTTGCTGAAGAAAAGCACCCCTACAGTGAGGTGTTGCCACAACATCCCATGCTTTATCCTTTGTCAGGATACTGAAGCTCAGGATAGTTTAATTCCATAAATATTTTAAAAAACTCCACAACTTTATTCCAGACCTTAGCAAAGCTGAAGTCGATAAAGCAAACCAGACATGTTGCTGGCCATTTATTGCAGACTGGTTGTCATACATCAACATGCCTCAAAGAAATAGTTTGTGTTTTGTTCACAGTAAAATGAAGTTTGCAGCAAAATCCAAAATACCTGAAGAACGAGATGCTCCTCTCCACATTTGGCATTCCACTTGCTCCATGAGAAAGCACAAGCAGATGCAAAGAGGGCCATCTGTTTATAAACAACTTGTTCTGTAAGCGATTCCTGGAAACAAGATAAACATTTTCTGATGCCAAGGCGATCAAAATGTAATTTTCATATTGACACTATCATCAAATGTAGCAGCACTGATTTAATATTGGTCCCTTGCAAAGCATAGGTTGGATCTAGTGATCTACTCATATTCTAACAGTTGTCTGCTGGACTGATTTTTAACCAAGGTTGTTAGGCACATTAAACCATAATGCAAAATAGAGAACATCTTCTGTTCAAAAAGTCTATCACCCCTAATGCATACAGCATAAAAATCCCTGAACTCTGGTTGTTTGCAAAATTTGCTAAAATGAAAGGAGTAAAGTATGCAGACCTTCCTGCAGAAGCTGACATATTTGTGCGTGTGCTCGTTCACGAAGATGTTGACTCCCGCCTTGAGCATGGCTTTCTGCAGCGCATGTCCGCTCATCCACTTCCCCACGAGGTGAGAGAGGCCTCTTTGCTGCTCCAGCTGTAGCATGCACTGATCATTCTGCTCATTGAATTGAAACACACAAACTGTGAACACCAAGCATCTACTTACGACATTTGGTTTAAAACAAGAACATGTTCCAACTGTTAAATGTGTATTGGAAAATACCTATATGGCACAAGGCAGATGACATCTTGGAGAAAATATTAATATCTGTTGGTTTATTTGCAAATCAAATGTAAATCCATGCAGTTTTTTTTTTAATAAAGTTTGCTATTGAAAAAAATCTGTGAGCACTAAAGAAGCATCTGGAACAGAAAATCTGTAGAAATGTACTTTAAATTAAGTGTTTTGGTCCCTTAACTTTAATATCCCTTGGAAAATCCCTCTTTTAGATCTTTTCAGACATAAAGTCAGTGAGCATATTTTAGCACATTGTTTTTGGTTTACTCATAATGACCTTATTTATTATCACCTTTTAACAAACTCAACAAATGCAAAGTTTAAAATGTAATAATGAAAAATGCAAATGTTGTTTGTATTAATTTTAATTGGAAAGGATTTTTTCTATTTTCAGTCGTTTCGGAGTTTTACTATCACATGTCAAATGAAAAAGATACATTTTAAAATTTCAAGATAGTGAGAAATTACAAATATAGGCCATATCATAATTTCCTCTTTTAAGGTTACAATGTTTTTGTTAAAAAATAGCTTTAATTATTTTTCTGCGGTATTCAAATGTTTATTTTTATGTTGTTGGATTTATAACATGTGCTTCAAAGATTATAATGGATGTTAAATTGCATTCGCATTTTTTTATTTTGTGTTTTTGCAATTAGTGGGCAAGTTGTGGGTGATCTAGAAAGATTTCCACATAAGACCAAGATAGAGAGACCACTTTAGTTCCACCCTATTGAAATGATCAGATTGATGTGCTACAGGCAGTTACAGAGCAGGTGTAAAATAGAGATGAGGTTCTAGGCAATAGAAATGGAGGAAATGATGACAAATAACTTAAAATAAAAACATTTGATAATACTAAATAATATCTGTAATCAGTGTTGGGCACTTTACTTTGAAAAAGTAATTAGTTATAGTTACTAGTTACTTCTCCCAAAAAGTAACTGAGTTACTAACTGAGTTACTCCACAATAAAAGTAACTAGTTACTTGTAAAAGTAACTATTGCGTTACTTTTGCGTTTCTCGCCCCCGTAAACCTCACCACCCGGCCCCCACCTTCTCGCCGTGTGTTTCTAAAGCCAGCTGAATAGAGCGGACGACAAAGACAAGAACCTGCAGACAGTTTAGCATTTATTGCAACTCAACGCAAATGACATCAGGGGGGAACGCGATGTAAAGTTTTATAACAGGACATTCAGATCCGGTGAGTATATGAAATTAATAACTGGGGATGTCTAATTCTGAAATCCTGTGTGTTTGGGTTGTTATAGATACTGCAACATCTATCTATCCATCTATCTATCTAGATGTATACTCTGTGTGTGACATAAAATATGGATCTCCATCCCTGCCACAAAGGCCATCAAATAATGTTTAAAATAAAAAATACAGTAGGTTGAGAAGGCAGAGTATCCATCCATCCATCCATCCATCCATCCATCCATCCATCCATCCATCCATCCATCCATCCATCCATCCATCCATCCATCCATCCAGATTTCTCCCTTTCTCCATATAGGTTATCATTTCTGGCTGTTGTCAGGTTCATTTGATCCTTCACGCTCTCCATAGTTCTTCTGTGGCGCGAGCACAGGGCGACTGTTGCGCGCCTTTAGCGAGCATGCGCGTTTCCTGTCTCTTGTGCGGTGACTCTTGCCGCCTGCGCTGTGTGGAGATGCAGAGGAAACCGTTATGTGATGGGGAAACGCAGCTCGACGTAACACCGGTATTTCCATGTGGAAAACGCTGTTTTGCTGCTGGAGTCATCCTCACTCTCCATCTCTCTGTGTGTGCTGTACGTTAACACCCACCAGCAGAAACACCCACCTATTCAACTGACAGACGGAATCTCATCCTCCCCTCTCTCATGACAAGGCGCGCACCTCTGGATGACTTAAAAAATAATCTTTAATATCTCTTAAACAAAAGTAGCACAAACAATATTTTTTTCTGCACAAATCTGCACTAACGTTGCACTAACCATTGAGTCTATTTGCAGAGTTTTTGACGTGGGTGGGGTGTCAGCTTCACGCAGCTGCGCACGAGTCCTATCATGAAAAAAGGTTCATTGTGCGACCTGAGTAACGCGCAGTAACGGGGTGTCTGCAATGGTAACTGCGTTATAGTTACAGTCAAAGTAATTAGTTAGATTACTCGTTACTAAAACAAGGTAACGGCGTTAGTAACGCCGTTAGTTTCAACGCCGTTAGTCCCATCACTGTCTGTAATACATTTCACATTATGATGCAACAAAAAAAAAGCAGAAAAAAATGATACACAATTATGAAAATGAGAACATTTAAAGGTTAAAGTGCATGTGTGCAGTGAGATTCGTCCATGAAAATATGTTTTTTTTTCTAAAGTGAGATAAGAACTAATAAAAAAAAAATCAATTTGTCTTTTATTGTGCTAGACAGAACTTGACTTACAGAGTGTGCAACTGAAGAAACTCAAGCTTCATCCTTACTGCATTTTTCCCCGCTTAACTGAATAAATTCTTTTTATTTATTTTAGTTTTTAGTCTCCAAAAAACACTTAATAATAAGAGTTTGAATTCAGCTATTTTTTTAAATTAAAAAACTCAAATTTTTTTGCCTTAAATTGACTAATTCTGATTCAAATTTCTGCAAAAGATACATCAGATTCCTCTTGTAAGGACAGCTCTCTTACCTTGATAGTAATGGTGATGTCAAAGATGGCTCCCTTGATAGTAAAAAGAAGAGAATCTTGGCCCAGCGGTTGCAGCTCCCAGCCCTGAAAGGGGAGGTTGGCGTAGGTCTTCTGCATCAACGCAAAGGTCTGAAATGTCTCCATCTTGAAGGAGATCTTGGCTTCGGCCTTCTCGTAGGATACGTCAGTGATCCCATCCCATCTCCACTGCTTATCTGGGTGTGTAAAGATCAAATCAACAATGCTATAAACATATTCCTTCCCATGGATTGTGTTGCATGATAATCGGAATGTTGTCAGGATTTTTTAAAACAAACCAACACAATGAAAAGCAAGTGTGAAGGGGAGGGATTTCTTATTTATTTTATAAAAATGTTGAAGGACCATGAAAACAATCCTTCAACCATGTCCAATCTAGTAATATATATATTAGTGTGTAAAATAACCCGTGTGATTTCTGCTGTCGGTACCTCCAGCATCCCAACGAGCCACAAGTGGAGGTTCCACGTTTGTAATCCAGTCAGGAAGGGTAACAGACACCCCAACTGGAGGGCAGGCCTCATTGCTGGGCTTCCCAGTTGGGTACGGGAACACTCTCAGCCCATCCTCAAGCTGGAAGAAAAAAACATAAATCTTAAAGGATCTGCTCAACCTGAGCTATGAGAACAGCTTATGGCAGTTTAAGGTCGATGTAATCACCTGCAGTATTGTATATCCTTTTCTTCTGATAGGCCGAGGTGGGAGGTGGAAGAGATCACAGTAGAAAACCCCACCCACAGATGTGTACTGCATCACATCTACAACCTGGGCTCCACTTCTTATTACCTTAGGCTGAGGAACAATTGGATCCTTAGCTGGAGACACAGAAGGTCATTTTACATTAGTTCTAGGTGGAAAACTGTGTATAGAAAGGGAACATTTTACACATAAAACACTTGTTTAACTTTCCACAGTATCTGAAAGGTTTGTTCTGCTCTTCAAAAGTGAAGAAGCCCTTTGGATATGAGTAGAAATCCCTTCAAGGATCCAAATTTTAAAATGAAAATAAATAGAAAATTATCTCTGAAAACAGAGCAGTAAAGGTTAATCAAAGATTACAGAGATTTCAGGAGCACCCCTGGAGAAGGTATCAACTTTCAAAAAGAGAATGAAAAGAGATCTAGTCTAAAAATTCTACATCAGGTTTTTCATGTTTACTTGGAGAATCAGAAAAATCCGGGCTGGACATCTGACTGTTGAGAGCTTCCATCTGTGTAGATATCTTGCTCCTGCTTCTCCTGGAACTTTGTGCGCTACATTTTCTGGATGGGGGACGGGATGAAGCTTGTAATGGATCCTTAGCTGGAGACACAGAAGGTCATTTTACATTAGTTCTAGGTGGAAAACTGTGTATAAAAAGGGAACATTTTACACATAAAATCCTTGTTTAACTTTCCACAGTATCTGAAAGGTTTGTTCTGCTCTTCAAAAGTGAAGAAGCCCTTTGGATAGGAGTAGAAATCCCTTCAAGAATCCAAATTTTAAAATTAAAAATAAATAGAAAATTATCACTGAAAACAGAGCAGGTAAGGTTGATCAAAGATGTCCCAGAGATTTCAGGAGCACCCCTGGAGAAGGTATCAACTTTCAAAAAGAGAATGAAAAGAGATCTAGTCTAAAAATTCTACATCAGGTTTTTCATGTTTACTTGGAGAATCAGAAAAATCCGAGCTGGACATCTGACTGTTGCAAGCTTCCATCTGTCTAGATATCTTGCTCCTGCCTCTCTTTGAACTTGCGCTACTTTTTCTGGATGGGGGACGGGATGAAGCCTGTAATGTTAAAGTATCGTTAGAACTGTAATCTTAGAAAGTAATGTTAGAACTTAAAACTGATTTATTTGATCAAACCTGTTTTTGGTCTAACTCCTCGATGGGCAGCTCCTTCTCTTCCTCTACCTGCTTCTGTGCCTGATGTCTGATCCTGACCAGAATTGACAGGTGGTCATAGTGGGTGTGGAGCATCCGTACGGCCACGGCGCTCCAAACCAGCTGCATGGGAAGCATAAAGCTCAGGCCAGCTTCCTCAAAACGATGCTCATTCAAGCTGAAAACAGACAATCCAAAGCAGTGAGTTTGTCGGCGGGAAGAAAATGAAAAGGTTTGTATATTCTCAACTTTAGACACTAACTTTAGGTCTTTAAAAAGGTTGGCCCAGAGACACAGCGTCAGCCTCTCATGTTTGTATTCGTGCTGCAGGTTTGTTGCATCAGGATCCATTTTTTCACATGTTCCCTGTGAACAAGAAAACATTAAAGGCTGAACAGGTTTCTTCATACTGGGATCTTCACTGTTTAACATGAATGAAGCAGCGGTATGTACCTTTAGGATCTTCTCAGCTATGAAAAGGTGCTTAGAATGGAAAAGCTCCTGCATTTCCATCAGAGCCTCCTGGTACTTCAGAACCTCTTTTGGATCTTTTGCCTCTTGTAGAGGCTCGTGCAAATCTTCAGCCAGCTACAAATAGGACCCCAGTTAATACAACGTCTAGCAACAGGATTCTCAATTCCTAAACGTTGTTTTTACATTTTGACATATTAAAAACACAAATTGATCAATTTTATTGAGATTAGCTCTATTCATCATTTTAGTATCCTACTACGGGATTTGATGAGTAGCGTTTCTGGGTAAACACTGAGTAGAACTACCTTTTTCTGCTGTCTGTCTAACAGCTATCCAGACCATCATTTGTAGCTCATTTTGCTTTGCAGAATACCTCAAAATGAGTAAAATTTGACAAAGTTGGTTCGTAAATATCACTCTGAGTCTGATTTGGGTATGTGCATTGACCAAATATGCTTTGAATCAAATTATTCTTCTGTAGAACTGGCTGCATATTTATGGTCAGGTATTTTTCCCTAAGATTGTCCATATATTTTTTCCCTTCAAATTGCTGATAAAAAACATCCCCACAGCATGATGCTGCCACCACCATCTTTAAAAGCTCTTTACACTTTATACAATTTTTATGAACCACGTTTAATGTTTCCTTCCCCTTCACATGTATGAGCTATGCTGGTCATTGTGGTTTTTATGTCATAAATTGTGATAAAAAAACAAACATTTATTTTATAATGTATGTATGTACAGATACACACTCGTATGGCTGTGGTGGATTGGTCAAACTGCTCTGCAACGTTGGACTCCAGGTCGTCTCTCCACAAGCTGATGAAAGTATTGACGGCCCGCTGGTCTTTTGGGTCTGGGTAACCATCACAACGCATATATCTTTCCCACTGAACACAGAAAGTGGACATGCTCTAGATGACCAAGAACGACCAATGAATAAATCAATTTGCCATCCCTATATCTATATGCATATATATATATATATATATATATATATATATATATATATATATATATATATATATATATATATATATATATATATATATATATATATATATATATATATATATATATATATATATATATATACACATAAATAAAAGGAACCTTTGTGTTGATTCTGTCAGACATGACAAAGAAAATGTCAAACCTCAAATTTTGTGTTTTTAATATTTGGATAATTAAAGGTATAGTGGAGCATTTTCACGAATTTTTGAAAAGACCCGCCCTCTCCACTTTAAAAATAAAAATGCACATGCACACGAGCAAGAGCATGCACAAGCCCATTTTTCCTCGTGTGCGCTCTGTTTAAAAGTTGCTGTTCTCATAGCTCATACAAGCTTACTGTGCCCAAACGTCCGTCCAAACCCCTAACTCCTTCGATCAGTACATAGAGCAGGGACTGAACTTTATGGCGAACTCAGTTAACTTACCGTTCGGACAGATGATCACTGCTTTTTGCTCGCTGTTGGAGACGTAACACCTCCTCCACCGTATGGTGCCTGCGCCATCTTCATTATTAGTCAACATTGTCGGGTAGCGAAAGCCTATGGTGACAGCGGGCTGCTGTCACAGCAAATCCCATAATGCTTTGCGAGGAGAGCTTTCCGAGTAAAGCATTCTGGGATTTATATCTGTTTCTTCTGAGGTCTGTCTTTTCTTCTCATACACTTTGTAGACATTTTTTTTCTTACGACCCTCAGCCATTTTCAAAGAACCGTGGTAAGAAAGGAGAGCTTCAATGACTGTTGGAAACCATAGCTCACCACACATCTGCACCTGAAAGTGTGCATGTGCACGAAAAGATAGCTAACCAAAGTAGCACGTAGGACGCCCTTACGTAAGCATATCACCAGAATGATTGACAGTTTGGAGGACAACTTATTTTGATGATCCAATCACTAAAAGATTGTCCTCTATACCTTTAAATAAAAATAAAAAAAGAATCACGGCAAACACTAGCAGAAATATAAAGAATTCCCTACCGCAGCCTTTTCTGCAGCAGCAGTCTTCCATTTGGTTATTGCCGAGGAATTTTTCTCAAGTAAAGTGTTCAGTTTAAGCAGTTCCTCCTCTCTTTTCTCCAAAACCTAACAGCAAATATACCAGAATGGAGAAAATGCAGAAAACAAAAGATACGCTTGTCCAAAACAGGAAATAATAAAAGCTTTTATGGCCCGAATTGTTATTAAAAATTTATTTTCTCCCCTATACTTTTTCTTTCACTATTCAGTAAATTATTGTAAGAGAATTTGATAAGGAAATTAATTAATTGACCAATGGGAGTCTGAGTTCATGAAAGTGCTATGTTTGTGATAATCAAAATATTGAGGGTAATATAGCTGATGCTGATGTCCCCCCACCCCTCCCCTACAAAAGACTTCAATCAGAGCTGTAAACACAGATCTCTTTAGAACCACCCTGCTTGTTTAAAAGAAGCCTTGTTCAAGCTTTTTCAGGCTTTATATTCATAATAATCACAAAATTAAACAGCTTGCATTTAGTTAGATTAAAAAAAAAATTTTTAGGGTTGTACTTCATCATGTATGTTTAAAAATATTGTACCTTTTCCTCTAACCACTGTATCTCCTGCTGCTTTCTCTCATTTTCAAGTCTCTCCTGTTCTTCTCTTTCAAGCTGCAGCTGCAGCCGGGCTGCTTCTGGAAGAAAAAAAGAAAGGATCACCTCACTGCTGGTTGAAAGCTGATGCTTATATGCACTGTAGAAAAAGTCAAATCACTTTGTTTTCCATTGAGTTTGACATAAAAAATAATTCACCTTTTGCTTTGTCATGCAATTAGGATCAAAATTATAACTATTTTATAAATGATGGAATAATAAGCTCAGTTATTTTATTTATTTATTTTCAAGTTCAACTACACTAGGGCTGCTATACTGTTAAGCAAGCCAGAATATATCAATTCACAATTAAATTACAAGTTCTACTTATTCCAGATTTGTGCATTAAATGAAGGGATAAGCCAAAAATACTGCTGCCCTATATGCAAAAAAATCTAAGAAGTCAGGTAAGATATAAAGAGACCTGTGGGCCTTCATTTGGTTCAGGTGTCTAAAGGAGACACATTTATCTGTTCAAGCAAATACAATATGAAAACCATGGGAATGTCCTGCAGTTATGTTGCTCATCTTGTCTTTGCATGGTCAAAATTTTATAATACAGATGGACATGATCTAAAAGATGAATCCAAAGGAACCTGAGAATTTATTAAAGCAAAGTGGAATGTTCCCAAATCATAACATTATGTCATGTTGGTTTTGTAGTTTTTTGACCCTCATTCAGAATCACATGGAGAACCAGTGGAGTTTAACATTTTAATTACAAAAGCAACACGAGTTGGCCCAGCCATAGACATAATATATATATGTCTATGGGCCCAGCCAAGAGCAAAGATCCTCTCTGAAGCAGGAAGCTCGCTCACACCAGAAAAACAGCAAAACCCCAGAGACACTACGGCTAACACATTAACCAAACTACATGTCATTTGAGTTAAAGCTTTCATTTTTTTACTGAGGTCTGTAGAACAACTGCATCAGAGTTCAGTAAATTAGCATTTATCAGTAATTATCTCACTTCAACCGTATCTATAAGATGCAAGAAAATATAGTTATAGGTTGAGGTTCAAAATAAAATCCTAAGTGTGTCAACGTAGCACATGTTTAGGTAGACAGACAGACAAAGGTTACCTTCCTCCTCTTTCTGCTTCTGCGATTTCAGAGTTTTTTTCTTCTTCTGGGCCTTCTGAAAAAACACTTGAAAATTTTAGTTTTCTTTTTTTTTTTATCTGAACTCCAGAATGGATAGTGATAGAAATGTTTAAAAGAAAACTATAATCAGTTAAATAGATAATCAGTGCTTATACAACTAAAAGGTGAAAAAGAAAATGAGCTGAGTGCTTTTCGCACATACCTTTTTTTTCTTGGGGGGCTATAATTCATGGAAAAGAAAGTTATGTGATAGACATGCAAGAAAGCAAAATCAAGGTTTGACATGAGAAACGAGAATATGTAGAAGACAACATTTAGATTAAAGATTTCAGCATTTAGAATACTGAAATAAGAAATATAACACACACAGTGATAGACAGTAAAGTATTAACTCCAGGTCATACTTTAGCTTGATAGACAGTTTGCATTCAATTTGGATTAAATTCAGTAAAGTGAAATATTTTAACAAATAAGAAACATTTTCTAACATTACGGCAACAAACTTAACGTTTTGAAACATTTCTTCAAAACAATAATCGAAATATAAATCGTTTTTGAGAAACTTGACTAAACTTACCATTTTGATTGTAAGAAAAAAAAAAATAGAGCCGTTGAATTTGGGTGTACTGGTAACCACGGCAACCACTGCGCATGCGGAGTCCTGATTTTTTTTTTATATATATATACGCGGAAGTTATGTACAGGGGCTTACAATGCGAACAGAAAAATAATTTGAAAAGGAAAAAAAGAGATCTACTTCATTAATTATGAATGGAATTGTTCGTAAGCAAAAATACAGCGAGAATTTTAGAAATATAAAGCTTGAAGTGCACAAATATATGAGGTCGCCTTGACTTCACTTGGAACGATGCGTTAAAACAGCCGCCATCACTGGTGCAAAGACCTGTTGCATTAATACACCTATCAGGCAGTTTGATGTGTTACTTAAAGGGACAGCTGCAGGCTAAATTATATGAGGGGGAAGGTAGAAATGTGAAAAGGGGAATCTTCATCTGTACACATTATGCTCCATATGTTGTTATTGTTGACTTGCGTTATCTTCACGGGACTGGGCTAAAAACTTACAGTAAAAGTTGATTTTGAATAAAAAAAAAAGAACAAAATGATCAGAAATGACAACAATAAAAAGATCAAAGAAGTTAGTTTATAGAAAAATATTTCTCTGGTGTTCTAAAAATCATCACAGTAAAGCAATTTTGGACATTGGTTGAGATATTCTTTATTGTTTATTTTTTTATTTTATGTGGGTAATTTTTTTCTTTTTGAATTATGTCCATAAAAGTATTAAGAGCTGAATAGGTCATTTTCTTTTCATGTAAATATTGGATACATTTAGGTTTCTCCTCCTTTTTAATCATTATACCTTTTAGTTGTTACATTAACTATTCATATTTATTGTTAGGCAAATTAAAACGAATTAAAATAAATTAATAATTGAATCCAGAATGTTTATCTTAGATAGATAGGTTTTTTTAGATATCTGGAAGTAAAAGACCAGTAAACATGAATGGGAAACAACTTCATTTGTACTAGTGATATCTGAAATGTTCATTTTAGATAGGAAGAATGTTATTTTAGAAGTCTGAAATGTTCAGTTCGACTAGGAAGAAATGCATTTAAGACAGAAATAAAATGTCTAGTGATTTCTATGTATCTGAAACATTCCTATTAGTACAATAAATTTTTTACATCATGAAATGTTTTTGCTAGCAAAAGTGCAACTTAGGATATCTGTAATTACAGTTCTGACTATTAGGACTGTAGTTTTATCCAGGAAAATTGTATTTTAGTGATCTACAAATTAATGAACAGAGAGGAGAGCGCTTGTGTTCCGTTATTTTGGCAGGTTTGAGGCACTGCACATCTTACCCCAGCATATAGATGGCATACGTTATTAATGATGGGCATACGTTTACTATTAGAAATGAATGATTTGCTCTAAAAGAAGATATTGAAGCAAATCCCTTAGCAATGTCAGCTGTTAAAAATTTATAATCACAGATTTATTTACCCACTATTTTGTAATATTTTAGGATAGTTAAAGTTATGTTTTAGCTTTCCTATAAAAATATCTGTGTATAAATGTGCAGATATACTATTAAAACAATAAAAACACACTAAACTCTTTTCTTTCAATCCCAAGCATTCCATGAATATTCTCTCAGATTTTATATCTGTTGTTTAGCACATTTTAGTGCAGAAGCAACCAGTCCAGCTTCCAGACAGTCCCTACTTTGACAAAGATGTGGAATAACAAGAGGACCGTGTCCAAATCAATAGGCTTTACCTTTAACTAAACACTTGCAGGTTAAAATTTTCAAAACAGCTGTTGAAGCCCACAGTGCAATGGTTAGGAAGACAAAAAGCTTTTGGTATAGCATCGCCAAAGGCTGAACCTAAACCGCTAACATTAAGGCAGGGAAGCAGATAAACTCAATTAATGCCAACTACAACTTAGATAGTATACCTGTGGTTAAGATGAATCTTGCAAAGTGATATTTTGCATAATATTAGTCAAGCTAATAGACGTATATTATTCTAATCCTCCTTTGCACTGAAGAACACAGAGAAAGCTATGGAGACTTCATTAGATTCGTGTCTTTATTTGCATTTTTTTCCAAAAGGGCTCAAAAATATTTAAGTTTTGGTTTCAGCTTTAAAACTCAATTTTCATGGCACTTCACTGCCTTATGGATTCTCTAAACCTCATACTCTTCGGACGAAACGTCACAGGCAGGTTCAACAATGACAAAAAGCTTTCAGCTTATATGGGAACTAATTACAGGATCAACAAGTCCCTTCTTATATGTGCAAGCAATTAATTCAGCCCCGCTAAAAACAGCACGGCAATTAAATTGAAAACACTTAAATACTTTCATGAACACACAAACGCACAAAATGTACATTTAGATCTATGGCAGAATCCTTGTAACAGCCCTGTTAGCTCATGTGGTGACCAGTTGCTGAGGGTGTCCTCTACAGACTAGACAGCAGAAACTTTTCCTCTACAATCAACACATAGATACAGTACATTCATATATCACAGAACAAATCAAATAAACCTAAAAATAAAACAAAATAAGAGAAGGTAAAGGACAAGAGCTTTGTGCTGGTGCATAGTTAAATGCTTAAATCAACACTCGTGATCACAGGATGGTAAAGTGCTAACAATTTGAAACCAGCTAAAAGGCAACAACAGAAAGCGAACAGAGAGGATTCACCATCAGAATGAGCAGTTCTCCGGTCAAACCAACTCTGAAAAGACTTACAAAAGTATTCATATGTATATTTTTCACCACTGCAGCAGAAATTTTTCAGAGATCTACACAATTTGTGGAGTGAAAGGAAAACATTAAATGTTTCCAAAGGTCTTTTAGAAACTTTAATACCTCTGAAGGAAATCCTATTAAACCAACTATGTCTACTTGATAAATAGAACCAACTTCTGTTTAAATGATTCTCTGTAAAGGTTTGTTAGCGTGAAGAATTAGCATCACAAAGACGACAGTAGAGCAGATCAAAGCGGGGTTCGGTTTTACAAAATCCCAAGCTCTAAGCATCTAATGGAGCCATATTGGTTTAGTCAGCCCTTAACAGAAGGGTCTTGTGTCAAATAAATAATACAAAAGAATTATAAACTAAAGCTTCTGCTGCAATGTCACAAAATTATATGAATACTTTAGCTTTTTTCTTTATATATATACAGTAGACTCCACGGTAATGTAAATGAAAGCAGGATGTTGTGCCTCCAGTTCTTTGAACTGTTTTTGGGGCACTTTATTGCACTTCAAAGTTAAACTGCAGTGGGTCTGTCTCCAGAGGTTACACCTCATTCTGCATGCAGAAAGAAAAAATAACAACAAATCTAACCGAGTCGATTAAGCATTTAAAAGGTAACAGTTCTGAAGCGCATCAGTAACAAACAACCCACCACAGTTCATTCACAAGTCATCTACTACACACAGGGGACACTTTTCACAAACATACACGAAACACAATCTTAATCTTTGACTGATTCAGTCTTATTTGTAGTTGTTAGGAGTTAAAGCCACAGTACGGTAATCTCTCCCTGAAAGCCAACACAAAACACACTTCTCCATCAGTCTGTACAGAACCTGGATATACTGAAGTGCTGCCTCACACGGTGATTGTGTTAAAAATTGCTTGTAAACATGTTTAGCTGCAAGGTTTCGCCAAATGTAAAGAAAGAAAAAAAAAAGCTAAGAACCAACAAAAAGCAGCTGGATTATATGATGCAGCTCTTTTAACACAAATAGCACTGTGGAGCATATGAGGGGCAGCTTAGATGGGCTTGTAAAGCAGAGACGTGACGTATTTCTTCTTGTATCGGTGGGTAGCACTCAGCACCATCACTCCGTCCTAAAAACACAGAGAGGAAATTATCAGGAGACTGAGGCCAACAGAAAACAAGTGACCATTGCAAAATCTAACAAAATATTCACTGGATTGTGACCTTTCTCACATTTAGCCACAATCCAACCAAACAAATCATATTGCATTATGTTGAAATTCTAGGTGAAAGACCAAAAACTGTAGTTTATTATTGTACAATGAAAGAAATGTCTGATTTTGTTTGTTTTGTTGTTGTTTTTTTTTTAACATAATTAGAGGAAACAAAAAAAGAAAGAAGAGTGTTTTTTGTTGTTGTAGCTCCATAATATATGAGCATCTAATATTTTAATTCAACAGAAAAGGTCAGTTGGAATGGATATGCTAGGTTTCTTCGTGTTAAAAGGGAGTTTTCCTGTCCACTTTCACCACATGAATGCTCGGTGCGAGGGATTACAGAGAGTCAGTGAGTCCTCGCAATCAGCTGGTTTACCTTAGGTAGAAATATTTCGAAGACTATAATTTAGTGTTACCTTTATCAAAAAATGTCATTTTTCTAATTGCAGCTTTTCTCTCTGTATGTCTCTCCAGATTGAATATGAATGGGATTGAGATTAGTCTTTCTTTAAAAACGCTTGATGTTTTAGTGTAGTTTATAAATTAATTAAAAGCTGATTTTGGTGGAACAAAAATCATAAAAAAGGATGAAAAAGAAAAAAAACAAGTGGTTATTAGAATAAAACATAAATTGTGATGCATCTAATATTTTCAGTTATAATAAGACTTTATCTTTTTGTAATACCCATGTTAGGATTTTTTTTTTTAAATAAACCGTCTCCTTACAAATGGATCTTGCATTGCAGGTGAGGATCTCACTAAATCTGGATATTATTAAGCCAAGTATACAAAACTCTATTTAGCAATTTATATATTACCAGGTAACAATCTCTCCTTTCCTTCTATTCTTTAGTCCAAAGCTTCTCAACTCTTTCAGTTCCTATCATCAGCTCTTTTATTTTGTCGAGATTAACTGTTTTATGTTCAAGAAGACAAACACGCCTAACCCTGAAAGACTATGTTCACAAATCACCTTAATAAATGAGCAAACCAACTCATAAATGTGTGAAAATACCAACTAAGGGTCCCTGATTAATTCAGAAAAATCTAATCTCTGATAAACTCTAATTAGGCAGTGCTTAAATTTTATTTTTTTTTTATGGTTCAACCAGACTACAGAATATGTTGAAACACTGAAAA